CAAACCCCAGTACCACAAAGGTGGCGGGGTGGGGGGGAGGGAGGAATAAATGACAAACTGGGAGGAAAACAGCTAGGAAATATACGATATCAAAGTTTCCTCCAGGAGCGAGGAAGAGGCAAGGATGAATTGTCTGATGGGTTTTTAAAGGGAGCACCCCTCTGCCAAAACTTTGACTTTGGACTTGAAGTCCCCAGAACTGTGGAGTCTTTCCTGCTTATTTTGAGTCACCTAGTTTGTGGTACTCATTCAGCCTTTGTCAGATGATATTCTACTTGTCCCTAACCCTTTTAAGTTTTACACTTGAGCTGAAGTAAGATTAAAATTCTTAGTTCCTCTGTCACAGTCAAAGATGGCTTTACTATTACTTCCTGTCCAAGATGGCTTCACTGTTACTGACTGTCCAAGATGGTTTCACTGTTACTTCCTGTCCACCATGTTTGTTCAGATCTTGGGTTTTGCCATCTAGAGGTCGATTCTAAACCATCTGCCCTTGAATCTGGATGGGCACATGACTCACTTTTGATGCCAGGTGACTTCTGAGGCATTCTCCATCCTGTGTGCCCTCAAGTGCCATGTGCACAGTCCGTCCACCATGTTAGGTGTGAGGCCATGAGACGAGCCACCCCGTCAGGGTTAAAGCCACTGACGTCTGGGGGAGATAACTTCAGAGTTAAGAGTGCTCTGTGCTTTGTGGTGGTTACTGTCTTGTCACTTAAAATGGATCATATTAAGCCAGGTGTTGTAGCGCTCATCTATAATCCCAGCTACTCAGGAGGTAGAGACAGGAAGACTGAGGGAGTTTGAGGACAGCAGCCGAGGCAAAGGTAGGGGTGAGATCATGTCTCAAAAGCAAAAGGGCTCAAGTGGTCGAGTGTCACAAGGTCCTGGGTTCAATCCCCAGTACTACAACCCAACCTGGACTGTGTCATGTACACCATGAGATTTGAAATGGCCTGGGGGAAGGGAAGATTTTAAAAAAAGAGGCGGTCCATGGTGCCCCCTTTCTCCCAGTCTGATCAGGGGCCACTTGGCACCCTGGTCCTTGCTTCCAGGGGCTCTGACTTGCTCGTGGTTCTTTCTGTCTCTGTGGTCAAGACTCAATGAAGTTGAGCTGCTCCCTCAGGAAGACGGACTAGGGCTTCAGGCGACCAAGGCCAGGGAAGAAACCTGGCTTCTGTTGACTTAGCTTAATATTGAGACGCTGTCACCACAGTGGGTGTTCCCGTCATTTACCTCCAAGCTCAGTGGGAAGCAGGCGTGTGTTGAAAGTGAATTTGGAACCCATTCTTGGAAAGGAGAAGGGAACAGAAATAGGCAACCCAAGGTAGGTTGCCTTGCACGCTTAGGGAGGCCATCATGGGGCTGTGGAGACACAATGACCCTTGCGAGCTGCCTCAGCTTGGGCTGGGGGGACTCAGCCTCAATGTCACAGGCTGCCCGCCAGCCAAATTCAGACTTCCTTGTCTTTTTGTTAGAACACAGCCACCCTCAGTCGTGTACAGGCTGCATGGTGCTTTCCACAGCACGTCGACAGGATTAAATGGTTGTGACAGGGTCTGTACGGCCCACAGAGCATGCAGCATTTCCTAGGTGACCCTTTATAGAAGAAATGTGACAGTGCCTACCTTGTGTCTCCATACCAGTCAGCCTGGGAAAGGACGTGACCTTGAGCCAGGTGCAGAGGAGAGCCCTGGAGCAGGGACCCCAGCGGCAAGGACAAGGGGTCCTTTTGTGACAGCCATGTGGGTGGTCCTCATGGTGGCCTAAAACAACCACTGTATTTTATTCACTGTTTTGTGGGTGGCGAATTCTGACAGATCTCAGTGGACAGCCTCTGAGGTCCATGGCCTCCTTGGGGTCGGAGCGTCCACCTCCCAGAGGCCTTCCTTGTCCAGTGTCCCCCGCCCCGTCCTTCTTTCCCTGTGGCATCTTTTCTTTTAGGGCTACTCCATGTGTTTTTGGGATAAGCACACAATGTCTTGCACGACGGCTTCATGAGGCGGGCAGTGGTGCCTAGCAGGCCTGTGGTGGGACCACCCCAGATTTGTTGGCACGGTCACCTCTGTAGTGTCCTGTCAGCCAGAGTGGTCACAGGTCCTGCCCTAGAGGCGGAGCAGTGGGTGCCACATCTTCAGTGAAGAAGACAAGATCCCAGTGCAGAAGGCCACATGAGTGAGGTCCTTTTACTCCGTGTTTGGAAAATACAGAGCACCAGTGGGTAGTGCTGGACAGAGCCAGGTGGCCCAGGACACAGAGCTATGTGTGTGCCTCCCTTCCCAATGCCACAGTCATTGGCATCGCCTGGACAGCCCGAAATGACCACAGGACACCTCAGGAATGGCCTTTGCCCCATCCCAACCCCACAGAGCCTGTTTCTGAACCTTCCAGCACACCACTGTGGCCAGGGAACTTTTAGTGTGAAGCCACAGAGGGGAGAAAGACAGCAATATTTACTGAGCACCAAGGCCTCTCGTGTTCTGGAATCCCGGGACAATTCTGTAAGCTGTGATCGTTGCCCCTGACTATAGGAAAGGGGTCTGAGTCTCAGACTGAGCGACCATGTAAGATTTGAGCCAAAGATGCTTCATATTTGCCTCAAAAGACAGGAGCCGGTGGGGTGTGAGGTCCCTGATCTGAGGAAAGCCACCACAGAAGAGGGCCCAGCCTGAAGCCTGGGGCTGCAGGGGCAGCCTGGGGTAGGTAGCAAGAGTGACCTGGAGTCCTAGGACCAGGACGGGACATGCCGTTGGGCACGGTTGCTGTAAGAGTGGCCCCAACTCCAGACAGCCAGACCCACTTGTGAAAGCACAGAGTGAGGTGGATGGAGCTGGGGAGCCCTTGAAGGGGGATCAGAGCGAAGAAACTGAGGCTGGCACCATGTCCACAGGGGAAGTCTCTCCTCCCCTCCCCTTCCTCTCCTCCTCCTCCTCCTCCTCCTCCAAGCTGGCACCATGTCCACAGGAGAAGTGTCACCCTCCCTCTCCCCTCCCCCTCCCCTCCCTCTCCCCTCCCCCTCCCCTCCCTCTCCCCTCCCTTCCCTCTCCCCCCTCTCCCCTCCCTCTCCCCTCCCCTCCCTCCCCTCTCTCCCTCTCCCCTCCCCCTCCCCTCCCCCTCCCCCTCCCCTCCCCCTCCCTCCCTCTCCCCTCCCTCTCCCCCTCCCCCTCCCTCTCCCCCTCTCTTCTTCCTCCTCCTCCTGGAGGCTTTCACGCTGTGTCCTGCAGGCAGGGCAGTCTCCTTCCTATGCAGTGACAGTAGTTCCTGAGTTTTGGACCTCAGCCTTGTGCCAGACATGGCAGCGTCTACTTTCACGCCTCTATTTTCCTTAATCCTCATAACCCTCAAAGGCGCACGTCTAGTGACTCCTGTCTGATGGAAAGGACCGGACGGAAGGGAACCTCCAGGTCACAGGGCTGCCCAGGCAGAAGTAAGACTTGAATCTGATGGGTCAGCTCAGGACCCTCGTCCAGCACAAGGTCCTCCCACCCTGCAGGTGGGCAGGCGCACACATAAAGAGCACAGACGGATGAGTTTGCTATCTTCCTTTTTTCTTTTTTTACCTCCCTCCTCCTTTCGTCTACTTAAAGACTAATAACATACAAAAGAGCTTCAAGTTGGCTGGGCACCGGTGGCTCACGCCTGTAATCCCAGCTACTCCGGAGGCAGAGATCAGGAGGATCAAGGTTCGAAGCCAGCCTTGGGCAAATAGTTCCTGAGACCCTATCTCGACAAAATGCATTACAAAAAAGGGCTGGTGGTGGAGTGGCTCAAGGTGTAGGGCCTGAGTTCAAATCCAGTACTGCAGAAGAAAAGCATCTTCACATTGTTGAACTAGGGGACTGTGAAGGACTTGAAGCCAAGGACATGGTAGAGGAAACAAGAGAGGCCAACTTGTGTCTTCCCAGAGCCAGGCTAGGGTTGCAGGGAGGAGAGGCTGGGCCCCCCAAGGGCAGGGTCCGCACCCCCTGCAGGCCTCTGCTGCCCACATGGACTCCTGGGCTTCTGGCTGGGCTCAGGCCCTGTGACCTCCCTCAGGGAGGAGGGCTGGGGACAGGAGGGCCCCTTGCCTTTTGCCCGGCCCTCGGAGCAGAATCCCAGGCTGGGAGAGCCACCCCGCCCTCCGGGTGGGTCTCGGCTTTTGGGGTGCCTGTTAAACACGTTCCCTGCACTCGTGGCGGGTTGGGGGTGAGGCACCGAGGCTGCACCCTGTAAGGTCTGTCTTCGTGCCCTTCCCTGGCCGGTGCAAGCTGACCCGGACCCCGGCGTGGAGGATCTGAAGCCCTGAGAAATTCCGTGCTTTCTCTCTTGATCTGTGAGCTCCGGTTCCGAGTCATATGGAGCCATATGGAGAGCACAGACTTCTGTGCTCCTGATCGCTCCTTTGGGAACGTGTGGTTAAACCCAGTGAAGCTTAACTTCATTTATTTCAGAGTCCCCGCCACTCGCCGGTGACCTCCACCGCGCAGTGTCCAGAGGACTGTGTGCCTCCATCCACCGGGTGGAAGAGTTTGGAGGGCTTGCTGGGCACCTGTGCGAGGGGTCCCGGCCGTCCACCATGGGGTCAACAGGGACTGACCCCTGCTGTCCATAGACTTAGAGTCTGGCCAGGGAGACAGAACAAATAAATCCTTTTGGAGCCCCGCGCCCCTCAATCGAGTGTCAGTTTATTGTCACTGAGTGCTCGCTACCCGCGCTGCTCGGTGTGACGTTCATAAGCGCGTGTGTTCATAGATAGGAAACTCTGCTGAGATCTGAGTAAGATGCACACGACGCCTGGCATCCAGCTGCTCGGCAGGTGAAGTCCACAAGACCCCATGTCAACCGGAGCCGGGGCCATCACCGGTCACCCCCAGCCACTCAGGAAGCACAAACAGGAGCCCTTGGCCCAGGCCAGCCCAGTCTTAAAGTGACAGTCCCGACTCCAGGTTTAGGGGCCTTGCTGAGCGGGGCCAGAGCCTGACCTCCCCCCTGACCTCCGCCCCCCCGCCCCCGGGTCTCAGCGTTGCAGGTGGAGAACTGTTCGACTTCTTAGCCGAGAAGGAGTCCCTGACCGAAGAGGAAGCCACCGAGTTTCTCAAGCAGATCCTAAATGGCGTCCACTACCTGCACTCCTTGCAGATCGCACACTTCGATCTGAAGGTACGCGGGGCCCAGGCCGCGTGGGAGCCTGTGGCCAGCCGGGCCTCCTGGTTGGTCCGCTGAGAGGGGCTGAGGCGGCTGTATGGGTTTAACAAATGGGACTTTGAATCAATATTTATTTATTTTGATTATTGTAATTATAATATTTATTAATATTAATCGATCAGTAATTGATTGACATTGATTGTCATGATGGGTGCCTCTCGCTGGGATGCTGATGAGTTTGCTGGGTGGAGGCTGCACAAGGAACCCGTGGGGAAGAGTCCCGTGTCCCCCCCCACCCGGGGGCCCTTACTCACCAGGTCTTTATCTGGGGCCATTTGCAGCCCGCCACGGCCAGTGTCCGGCCTGGCGTCCGTCCTCGGGGGCTGCGGGAGAAGCGTTAGGGTCTCGGGCTTTGCTTTCCTCCTGGTGCAAGGCTGGGGCCTGACCTTGTCGCTGGCTGCCAAGCACAGTCCACCCTGAGGCTGGCCGCCTGGGCTCTCGGGATGACGGGAGACGGACCGACGTGTGAGTCGTCCCCCAAAGTCACAAGGGAAGCAGGCAGCATGACAGTGAGTCCAGGACAGGGAGCCGGGCCAGCGCTCCAGGTGGTCCGACTGGGAGGTCTGCTCGGTTGTCACCTTGCCAGAGGCACCGCGCTCCCGTCACCCGATGAGACACCCGTCACCCGGCTTCCTTGTGCGTCCTGCCTCCCCTTTTCCTCACCCCGTGTCCTCCAATCCTTGGAGAACCCACACGGTTTTTCCTGGATTCTCGTTCAACCAATCCCTTTTCTCCCTATTTTTTTTTGGTCATTTTGTTTTTGGGTGGAATGGGGAAAAAACCATTCTGCCATGCTGTCTTCAGCATCGTGACATAGTATAGTTTTTTGCTCATTTGTGTGTTTGTTTTAAATCCCTCTCTCTCTCTCTCTCTCTCTCTCTCTCTCTCTCTCAAGCCTGAGAATATAATGCTTCTGGACAGAAATGTCCCCAAACCTCGGATCAAGATTATTGACTTTGGCTTGGCTCACAAAATTGACTTCGGAAATGAATTCAAAAACATATTCGGGACCCCGGAGTTTGTTGGTAAGTGTCTTCATTCCGGTGTTGGCTGATGTCTCATAAACGTCAGGCTGGCCGCCATTGCCCCCGCGGGGAAGTGAGGAAGGTCGTTTCCCTGGCCCGTGTCCCGAGCTAACGGCCGTCCGTTTTCCTCTCAGCTCCTGAGATCGTCAACTACGAACCCCTGGGTCTCGAGGCCGACATGTGGTAAGGACGCATCCTTTTGTGCTGTCATGTCTCGGGTTGGGGTCGACCTTGCTGTTCTCCTGATGCACTGTTGTGTTCTGTTTTTGCATTTAGGAGCATCGGGGTCATAACCTACATTCTGTAAGTACCACAGCCCTCAGCTCGGGTAATTCCTCCTTTTTCTTTGAGACCGTGTGTCTCGCTAGCCATTAAAAGTCTCTCCAGCCGTGCGCGCTCCTCCAGTAAGCATATTCACTTTACACCCCAAAACGTCTCTCGCCTATAGTGGCTGAGCATCTTCTCCCAGCGCGGAGCCTGTCATTGCAGACTTGTGGCGTGGTCAGTGTGAGAACGCACAGCCATCCGTTACTGACGAGCAGGAAGAAGGGGTTTTGCTGTAAACTCGTAGACACTGTTTCAGATTCACGTTTTGTGGGTTGTTTTGTTGTTGTTTGGTTTTTAAGGTTTTTTACTAGTCTTTAAATTTTTCTATTATTGTTGTATTGGAGGTACATTGTGACGTCTACAAAAGCTCTTACAGTATGTCACAGTTGAGTTCACCCCCTCCGTCATTCCCCTTTATCCCCCCTAATTCCTGGAACAGTTTCAGCAGGTCTCACTTTTCGATTTTCATTCATGAGTGCATAATATTCCACCACATTCACCCTCCTACACCCTGTCCTATATCCTCCCCTTCCCAGTGGTGCCAGCCCCCAGACTGGACCTGTTCTATCTTCTGTTTTCCTTTTTTTTTTTTTTCAGCACTGGGTTTGGACTCAGGACCTCACCCTTGTTAGGTTGGAGCTTTCCCACTTGAGCCAGCCCCTTGTTGTGTTGGGTATTTCTGAGATGAGGTCTCTCACAAACTATTTGTCCGGGGCTGGCTTCAAACCGTGACTCTCCTGATCTCGGCCTCCTGAGTCACCAGGATTACAGACCTGTCCTCCAGTTTTCAAAAAAGACATTTTTGTTTGTTTCAGAGAGCTGTACAGAGAGTTCCCTTGTGACATTTCCATGGATATATGTGTTATAACCTGAATTGTTTCATCCCCTCCATTTTTCTCCTTTCTGCCTTAGTCCCTTTCTTCTGGTGATTTCAACAGGTTTAAAATCCTATATTCATTCTTGAATAGAAAGTACATCAGCCACATTCACCTTCCTGACTTCCTTCTTTCACCTCCCTCTCTCGTGTGTCACCTCCCCTTAGCGTGACCTGTGTTTTCACAATATTGCTGCATTTGCGTTGGGTCTGTGTTCCACATAAGAAAGAAAACATGGCGGCCTTTGTCTTTCTGAGCCTGGCCAACGTCACTTACGATGACGTCCTCCAGTTGCATCCATTTATTTTGAAACCACTTGTCATTCTTCCTTCTGGCTGAGTGAAACTCCATTGCGTGTACATCTGCCACATTTCCTTGATGCGTTCACCAGTTGTAGGGCAGCTGGGCCGTTTCCACGCCGAGGCTGTTGTGGATGGTGCTGTGATAGACATTTGTGTGCCAGGGTCTCGACTGTGGCCTGCAGACTGACTTTCTGAACGAATCCTTCCCGTTAGGCTGACACCTTTGTTCGTGAGATGTAATTAATTTCTAAAGTGACCGCCCCCAGTAACCAGATTGCAGTCCATGCCACACTCCCCTTGTCACCTGCCCCGGGGGAAAGGGACAGTGTGCAGGGGGCACTCTGTTAACGTCCCGTGTCGCACCTTACCTCTAACAGCCTGAGCGGGGCCTCCCCGTTTCTTGGAGACACTAAGCAAGAAACATTAGCCAATGTGTCCGCTGTCAACTACGAGTTTGGGGAAGAATTCTTCAGTAACACCAGTGCCCTGGCCAAAGATTTCATCAGGAGACTTCTGGTCAAGGACCCAAAGTGAGTCTCCCCCGTTCCTGAAAGGGGCTGAGCTGTAGCTCAGCTGGCCTGGGTCCAGCGCCTGCCCTGTGCACCTCGTGACCTTGTCACACCCTGGCTGTTCCCTGCCAGAGGGAAGTGGAGCTTCAGTAAATGCACGGGGGACCCCCTTGTCCCCGCTCGGGCATCACGAAGCCATCACAAGGCCAGGGTTGTCTCTGGCTGTCTTCTCTGAGCGTGTCCACTGGGTCGGCCACTGTGTGCTGCTGTCACCAGTTTTGTTTTTCTTTCTTCCCCTTTCTTCCTCCCCCAAAGGAAGAGAATGACGATCCAAGACAGCTTGCAGCACCCCTGGATCAAGGTGAGCGGTGTGTCACCTGGCTGTTTTAATCATTTCCTCAGAGATCAGTCTGGGGATTCTAGACTTCACTCGTCCTGTCGCTCTACGACTCGCCACAAGCCACCTTGGGACATTGGGCATGCCATCGGTGCCATTTTTAATTCATTCTGACGGAATAGAGTGCCTCCCTCATGATGGCAGAGGCGGAGGGACAGAAACGGATATCACAGAGCAGGGCCAGAAGAGATCAAGTCCACTCAACAGCCATGTTTGTCTTGACTGTTTGACCAAACGGTGTGCTTTAAAATTTCAATGAATTCCCAGCCGGGAAGACCCCATCAAATCTGGATATCCAGCCTCTGTTGGAAAAATCTAAAACTCTACCAACACTGGTTCGTTTGACCAGGCCACATGGTTGTCCTCAGGCAGGTGACACCTGCCCCGCTGGCATTGGTCGGGCTCAGGAAACTAAAGTTGTCTTAGTCTGGAAATGGACAGGAGTGGGGCTGGGGCGCTTAGCGTTCTGTCACCGTGACACAAGCTGGCGGGGGGCGGGGGGGGTGGATAACTTACCTTGCTCACAGCGCCGGAGGTCTCAGGCCATGGTCAGTTTCTCTTGTGTCGCGGCCGGTGGTGAGGAACACACGATGGTACTCACATCATGGTAGCCAGAAGAGGGAGAGAGAGAGAGCGAGCGAGACCGAGGGAGAGAAAGAGAGACAGACAGGGGTGGGGGTGAGAGGAAGGGAGGGAGAGGAAGGGGGAGAGGGAGAGAGGGAGAGGGAGAAATAGAGACAGAGACAGACTGGGGGAGGGGAAGGGAGGGAGGGAGAGGGAGCGAGAAAGGGGCAGAGCTCCCCATGTCCAAGGCATACCCCCAGTGACCTAAGTTCCTCTCACTAGACTCCTAAAAGGTTCCTCTGCTTCCCAGTGGCACCCCAGGCTGCTCACCTGTCCTCTACTTCACGAGCCTTTTGTGGGGACACTTGTGATCCAAACCTTAACAGGGGAATATGGTACTTAAGAACACCGTGGAACCAATAGGCAGGCATTGCAGAAGCAGGATTCGGGCAAGCAGAGGACCCTGGGCCCAGGTGACCTCCTGACAGCTGCCAGCACCTAAACACACCCACCGAGCAAGGTGCGGTCGGTGGAAGGCCTTTGAATGGCGCGGTGAAGCCCAAATTTGCACGCTTCTGAGGTCCCTCCCTGCTCAAAATTACTTAATGATACCCAAGTCCAAATGGCCTCCCCTGAGTCTTCCCACCCTCAGACTGCCGGTGAGCAAGGCGGTGTTTAGTTTGGCTCCAGGCTCAGTCTATGCGTTAGATCACCCCGTGGCTGTCGAGCCAGCCCGCTGAGCCTGGGTTCCTGGATCTCCCGGGCTTTCCCGGCTCCCGCTATTTATTTTTTTAGGAAGATGAATGTGTAACCTTGCAGGAATAATGACAGGTTTCAAATAGTCTTCACAGAACCCGTTCTAATTTTTCTTTTTTTTTCCCTCTCTTAAACTTTCATTTTAGCCTAAAGATACACAACAAGCACTTAGTCGAAAAGCATCGGCAGTAAACATGGAGAAATTCAAGAAGTTTGCAGCCCGGAAGAAATGGAAAGTAAGATTGCTTGAGATCTCCTCTGCACAGCTCCGCCTGGTCAGGGCTCACCTCTCCCCATATTTGCACCAAGAAAACACACCCGGATTTCAAAAAGTCACTCTGTCATCTTCTGCACTGTCGCCCAGGTTTCCAAGACAAGTGAAACTATTTTAGTTCTGTTTAACTCACTCCTTCAGATACAATTTTGCATTTTTTTTTCACCCAAACCATTCCCAGGGCAAATTTTAAAATTAATGCAATGAAATGTGTAGACTCTCAAACGAAGCCCTGAGAGTAAGGCTTAAGATTTGAGGAGAACCCACCATTGAGGTTCTATCTCTCTCTCTTTCTCTTTTCTACCTGTTGCTTCTGCCTTGGTGCAGAAGACATTTGTCCTGTAGACTAAGCGGGCTTCCCACTGGTTCATTTCAACAACAGGACGCGCTCTGTTTGTCTTGGCAGCCCTGGGATTTGAACTCAGGGCTTCATGCCTGCTAGGCAGATGTTCTAACACCTGAGCCACACCTCCAGTCCAACCATACGCATTTTGGCATTTTGGCAATCGTGTCACCTACCAGTGCCACTTACCTGGGTCCAGAGGACTCAGAGCAAGTCCCCCTCTGAGGGGGACCCACAGGGGGTTTCTCGGGTTCCAGTCACATTCCAGAAAGGATGGAAGACAGTATGGAGACAGACAGGTTGTGGAGCTGCAGCCGAGCAGCTTCATAATGCAGTTTAATCTCTGTCTCTTCTCTTGATTTATCAAACCTTTAAAATCATCCTTGACTCAAATACCGTCCGTCCGTCCAGCCCACTGTGGGATCGCCCCCCCCACCCCCACTTTCCCACTCCCCACCCCACCCCGGGAAAGAAAGCAAACCCTGCCCCCAAGCCTGCTCACCCTACTGATCTGAACATGGTTACATAAGCTCCTTCCTCCTCTCCTGACTTTTTATGTCCTCTCTCTCTCTCTCTTTTTCCCCTACTTTCAAAGCAATCCGTTCGTCTGATATCGCTGTGCCAAAGATTATCCAGGTCATTCTTGTCCAGAAGTAACATGAGCGTCGCCAGAAGCGATGACACGTTGGTAAGCGTCAGTGCTGTGTGTGCAGAACTTCTAAGATCTGTCTGTCCAACAAATCCACAAAACCCCAAAGAAATGTCCTGGCTTGGTCCTCTGCGGATGGAAGCCTGACTGGGTGGACCCTGTTGTTTCTGCCCTCCCTTTTTCACTTTGATTTGCTTGGTACTCTCCCCGCTGTGCCTCTAAAACAAGCCCCCCCTTCCCAACCACACACACTCGCTGTCCTCACTCGCTGTCCTCTGCCTCTCTCTTCGCCAAAAGACAGGCCAGCCAGCAGCACAGGAAAGAGCCCGTTCTAATTTGCATGACCTACAATGAGAGCTCCCAATTGTCACTGGCACAGGAGAATCCAGGGACCAAGGTGGTGCAAAACACAGTCCCCGTCCTCTTCCCCCACCAGCTTCAGGGGAAGATGCTGCCCTGCTGGCCGGTGTGTCTCGTGGCAGGCCAGAAGGCCAAACTCACTTAATTTATTTATTTATTGACATTGTACTGACGGCCCAGCGTCGTCCGTCTCCCCCCCCCATCTGAAGATTAGCTCTTCAGATAGGACGGCACCCATCTGAATTCAACAGGCTTCTCGCCTGCCATCAAACAACCGGGCTTTGTTAACTCCGGAGGCAAAGGGGACTCCAGAAAAGGCAGACCGGGTAGTTTTGTGGGAACCACCCTGTCCTGTAACCCAATAGTCAGCGTTTCCTGAGTGGAGTCGGGGACTCCAAGGCCAAGGGTCGCACACCAGCAGACACTAGCTCTTGTTTCTCCTCCAAAGCCAGTGGCTTTACTAAGGTCCCAGGTCTGGCCTTGCAGGGTAAAGAGAGAGGAGATGTTACAAAAAGAAGAGAAGGAAGCTAGGAGGAAAGGGAGAAGAGGAGGAGGAAGCCTTGCTTGGGGACAGTGCGAGGGGCCAGCCCTGATCTGGGGGAAAGATGGAAACTCCTGTTAGGGAAGTCGTGAGAGTGGCCGAAGAGTGCAAATTCTGTCATCTGAATATTCAGTTAGGAGGACTGCACGTGTCACAGTGAGGCTCATAGGAGAGGGACCAAGGTGACCCAGGAGCTACAGGTGGGGCGATTCCCTTTGCACATTCCCTCCGCACCCCGTGTGCTGCCAACCCCAGGGCCTGCCCCAAGACTGCTGCATTGCTTCTTGCAAATGAAGACTTCCTTCTTCAAAGTTACCATTTCCCTGGTTCTTTGGGCGTTCTTTTTCTTATCCAGGAGAGAGTCCCCTGCTGTACCTGAAATTCTCCGCAGTGCCTTCGGGGACTTGTATATGGCAGGGTCCCGAGATACGCACGAAGGGTCAATTTTCCTCGTCCTTGTTCAGCATCTCAGTCTTGAAAGCTGTTTGCTTTCCGGGTTGCCGTGCAGGTGGCCTTGGGCTCGGGGAAATAGGAAATGATGTTAGTTTGTGACACGTCGCCTCCCAGTTCCCTTCAGGACCCTGTGGCCGGGGGTTATTTGCTGTCCAGGGAGTCCTGTCTTTCACAAGGGAGCAGCGGTCTCTCTCACGTTGGCGACAGGACGGTGGCCAGCGTGCTAACCCTCGTTCTGTCCCCCATGGCTGTCCCAGGATGAGGAGGACTCTTTTGTCATGAAAGCCATCGTCCATGCCATCAGTGACGACAACGTCCCCGGCCTGCAGCACCTCCTGGGCTCCTTGTCCAACTACGATGTTAACCAACCCAACAAGGTCTGCTTCTCCCCTGCCAGGGTGGACGGGGGTCCCGGTGACCGAGAGACCCCACTGCTTCTGTTTGCCCCCTTCCCGTCAGAACCTCCACGCGGGGGCAAAAATCACTTCCGTTTGGTGATGCGGGGTTCGAACATGGCCTTGCTCCCCTGAGGGCCTTCCTTCACTCTCCAGCTCCTGCAAATGGCAATCGGACCTTTGATTGTGACTCCCAAAGAGGAAGGGCTGCTTGTCCCCGGCAGCTCGGTGTCTTTCCGGACCTGGGGAGGTGTGGGGGACAGTGGGGAGACCTTGGGCTTTGCCTGGCCACCAGACCTGAAAACTCCTTCCTTTCTTTTGTTGTTTTCTCTCTCTGTTCCAGCACGGGACCCCTCCCTTACTCATCGCTGCCGGCTGCGGGAATATTCAGATGCTGCAGTTGCTCATCAAGAGAGGCTCCAGAATCGACGTCCAGGACAAGGTATGGTTCTTTCCTCGGAAATGGGCTCCTGTCCTAATGTGTTTCCGTCTGTCTGAGGTCACAGGGGTAATGGAGAGACACGGGCACCCCAGTGCTCCTCGCTTTCCCGGGGAGGAAGGCGCACGGCTTAGACAGTGGGTGGATTCGACACTCACGCGTGTGGACGAGCCTCGCCCTCCCCGGCGGCGGCTCCGGCTCCAACGCTCAGCTCCGCCTTGCTTGCTTTGGACTGCATTTGACGGCAGCGTTAGAGGTCACAGCAGTGTTAGAGGTCACACCCGGGAGGGTCCCCCACCTACTTCACCTGCTCAGAAGCGCGTCCTCCTGCAGGCTCTTTAGGCAGCCAAGCAAGGATGGCGCGCCTGGAGGTGTGGATGGAATCAGGGGTGTAGACACAGTTTAATAACAGCCGATGATGATCACAAGGGTCTGTCACCTGTCCCAGACTTCCTTTCTCTCTCTCCCCTTCCCTCCTTCCTTCATTCCTCCCCCTTCCTTCCCTCCCTCCTTCCATCCTTTCCTCCCTATCTCCTTTCTTCCTCCCTCCTTTCCTCCCTACCGCCTTCCTTCTTCCCTCCTTCCTCCCTCCCTCCCTTCCTTCCTTTCCTCCTTCCATCCTTCCTTTCTCCCTCCTTCCTTTCCTCCCCCTTCCCTCCTCCCCTCCCTACCTCCTTCCTTCCTCCCCCCTTCCTTCCTCCCTCCTTCCCTCTTTACCTCCTTCCTTCTTCCCTCCTTCCCCCCTCCCTCCCTTCCTTCCCCCTCCTTCCCTCCTCCCCCTCCCTCCTTCCTTCCTTCCTCCCCCCTTCCTTCCCTTCTTCCCTCCTTTCCTCCCTATCTTTCTTCCTCCCTCCTTTCCTCCCTACCTCCTTCCTTCTTCCCTCCTTCCTCCCTCCCTCCCTTCCTTCCTTTCCTCCTTCCATCCTTCCTTTCTCCCTACTTCCTTTCCTCCCCCCTTCCCTCCTCCCCTCCCTCCCTCCTTCCTTCCTTCCCCTCCTCACTCCCTCCTTCCTTCCCTGCCTCCTTCCTTCCTCCCTCCCTCCTTCCTTCCCTCCGTCCATCCTTCCTTCCTTCTTTCTTTCCCTCCTCCACCTCCACCTCCTCCTCCTCCTCCATCTCCTCCTCCATCTTCCCCTCTATCTCCTCTACTCCAGCCACTCCACCAACCCTGTTTTCTTTTAGGTTTTTTTGAGGTAGGGTCTCACAAACTTTTCCTGGGCTGGCTTCAAACCTCCATCCTTCTGCTCTCTGCCTCCCGAGTAGCTGGGATTACAGGCGTGAGCCACGAGCAATGGCTGCCATTGACTTCCCGCAGAGCTGTGCGGGTGGGTCTGGCCCTTGGTAGTGCAGTCAGCCCGTGAACCAAAAATATCTGAAGAAAATATGGCAGAAGTTTTCCGTCTTGCTACCCTCGTATAACAGCTGTCTGGGCGGGCTGTGTCTGGGATGCAGTGAGGGGTTCGGGCCTGGGGGAGGCCGCGGGTCGGCTCTGTGCAAACGCCACGCCGTTTTCTAGAAGGGACGTTCGTCTTGTGGGTTTGGGTATCTGGAGGGTTCGAGAACCAATCCCCCAATCCCCTGCACATGCCAGGGCTGGCTCTGCAAGGAATTATCACCAGAGGTAGAAATGAGGGTTTAAAAAAAAAAAAAAAGAGAACCCTATTTTTTACTTTGGAAGGATTTTGCCTTTGCAAAGTAGTTCCCACGGTGGCACCGAGACAGAGCGTTCCCCCAGGCCCCTGGCCTGCTTCCCCTCCGTTGGTCACAATCAGACAGCCATCCTACAAACCCCGGAAGCCAGGCGGGGCTCCGTTCCTCTTGGGAGCGGCCCCTCTGCGGTTGTCGTCACTTGGGAGGGAAATGGTCTCAAAGCCGGCAGCTCCCCAGAACCCCGTTCTGCTTGGTCTTTCCGCAGGGGGGGTCCAACGCCATCTTCTGGGCTTCTCGGCACGGCCACGTGGACGCTTTGAAATTCCTCAACGACAACAGATGCCCTTTGGATGTTAAAGACAAGGTGAGACCGCGCCTCTGAGGAGGAAGGAATAAATGGCTGTCCTGTGCACCAGGACCCCGCGAATGAGGACTCAGGACCACAGGGGAACAAAGAGGGACGCTCCTGTCTCCTGTGGCTTGTTCTCCTGTTGAAATCTGTTACATATGTAGAGAGAGAGAGACACACACACACACAGTAATTTTAACTTTGATTGCTGCACTGGGGTCCATGGTGACATTTACAGACGACCTTACCATATATCACAGTCAAATTCACCCCTCCATCACTCTCCTTTATCCTCCCTCCCTCCATTCCTGGAACAGTTTCAGCACATCTCATTTTCCATTTCCATTCATGAGTGCATAATATTCCACCGTTTTTACTCTCCTTCACCCTTTCCTTATATCCTCCCCCCTCCACACCCACTGATGCCAACCTCCCAGAAAGGACCTGTTTTACCTTCCTATCATTCATTTTTTGGGGGGAAAAAGAAAGGTATTTTCGTTTGTATAAGATCTTTGTTTGTATACATTCTGTTTGTGTAGAGGGAGTTTCATGGTGACATTTCCATGTTTGTATGATAACCTGGACTGGTTCGTCCTATTTCTCTCCCTTCTTCCTTAGTCCCCTTCGTATAGGGTGATTCCAACAGGTTTAAAAACTCTATGTTCACCCTTTTATCCTTGTATTTTTAAGCAAACCTCTAGTACTCTTCCTCTTTGAAGAGGCTGGCAGTGTTGATCTTACAGTCAGTTGATTAACCAGAGAGCACAGAGTGAAGATTTTTTGGGGCGGGAGGTGGTAAAGACGTTACTGAAGTTTCGGTTACCTTACTTTAACACGTGTGTGTGTCACACGGTCTGTAAGTCAGTTGGCAGCGTTGACTGAGCCCGGGATTCCCACCCTCCTGTCCCCTCGTTGTTCTTCTGTGCATTGCTTCTGCTTGCAGAGCTCACGGGCTGATCTGCCGCGTGTACCCCAGGTGGCCACACGGCCGCACAGGTCACGTATTGCCTGACAGTCAGGCAGAAAGCACCATCTTAGCTCTGTCTGGGGAAATCAGCTTTTAGGAGGAGGAGCTTATTTTGGGTTCTGGTTTTAGAGGTTACAGTCCATGGTCAGTTGGCTTTGTTGCTTTGGGGCCCAAGGTAAGGCAAAATACCTTGGCAGGGAGCAAAGCTGTCCACTTTGTGCCAGTGATATCTGGTCCAGGGTCCCACGACCCTCTTCAAGGGCATTTTCCTTCCCGCCCCCCACCGTGACCTCACTTCCCCCACAAGGCCCCACCTCTAAGCGTCCCCCGACCTCCCACCGTTGTGGGGCCATTGCCCCAGGCTGATCTCGCAGACAGAGCCTCTGGGGGACATCTGAGACCCTAACTGTGACACAGGTGTCTGTTGTGGCCATTTTCTGGCAGTTGGTGATAAAATAACTTGTTTTGCCGTTTTTTCTTTTTTTCCCTGTTCTGGAGTTTGAACTCAGGGCCTTCACCTTGAGCCACTCCACCAGCCTTTTTGTGTGTGTGTGTGTGTGTGTGTGTTAGGTATTTTCGAGATAGGGTCTCATGAACTGTTTGCACGGGGTTGGCTTTGAACCGCGATCCTCCTGATCGCTGCCTCCCGAGCAGCTGGGATCACAGGTGTGAGCCACCAGCGCCTGGATATCTTTTTTTAAGTTAGTTTTTTTCTGACATTTTTTTGGGGAGTGGAGTAAAGTTGAAGTGTCTTAAAGGAGTTGTCCTTATTATTATTAATTCACAGAAACCTGTTGTCCGTTCCTTAAAATCCCCGAGAGTGTAAGAACCGGGTTTGTAAGCAGACATGCCTGAGAAACCTGTTAAGCGAACAATTTTTGGGTTTTTTTTTTGTTTTGTTTTCTTTTTTGGCGGTCCTGGGGTTTGAACTCAGAGCTTTGCACTTGTGAGGCGGGTGCTCTACCACCCGAGCCACTCTGCCAGCCCTTTCTCTGTGGTTATTTTCTTTTGGAGATAGGGTCCTGCTCACAGAGGCGGCTCTGACTGTCCCTCCCTTTTCCTTTGCAGTCTGGAGAGACGGCCCTGCACGTGGCAGCCCGCTATGGCCACGCGGACGTCGTCCAGCTGCTCTGCAGCTTCGGTTCGAATCCCGACTTCCAGGACAAGGTGGGTGGCGGGAGCCGACGGGGCTCACTCCCTCTGCTTTCTGTCCTGGTGGTCAGGCAGCCAGGGGACACAGCGGGGGTCCGTGGGAGTCAGGCTTGTTGTCATTTCTGACCAAGGCCATCGAGCCCAGCCCTCGGCAACACCCGGCGTGTGGCCAAGTGCCCCACGCATTCATTTCCTCCCCGCGAGGTGCGTGAGCGTCCCCATCACCGTCGTCCCTCGGATGGGGGACAGAAAAGTGCCACGACTCGCCCGAGCTCCCATACAAAGTCTGGCTTCGGAAACTGTGGCCCCCACGCTGTCACGGCCTCTCCGAGGCCGAAGTGTGTCTAGGGGCACGGATGGTGAGGGGACAGACCTCACAGTCCGGGGGCCTCCGGGCCACTTGGGGCATGCACGGCTACCTTGGTCGCCTCCTGGCCGAGGCGGGCGGTGTGAGGACCGCTCAGGGGGCATCCTCCCACCGTGGACGCCGCAGGTAGCTGAGCCCCCAGCACGAAGGCTCTGTGTTCGGGAGAGCCGAGCCGATGGTCCCCAGTGGGCATCGAAAAGTCACTCGTGCGTCCTGCACCGAGAGAGTCAGGCCCACCCAACACTCAAGCATTGGGAAAGAAAACGAAGACCGACAATGCTTGGTGACAGCGGCTGTCACCGGTGCCCCTGTTTCACCCCCCCACCCTCCATCCACGACCTTGACATGACCTTGCCGTAGTGTTTGACCCTGCCCTGCACCTCCTTTGACGTGAGTGCCCTCGTGTCCACGGCCAGGAAGAAGAAACCCCCCTGCACTGTGCCGCCTGGCACGGTTACCACGCGGTGGCCAAGTCCCTTTGCGAAGCCGGCTGCAGCGTGAACGTCAGAAACCGGGAGGGAGAGACGCCCCTGCTGACGGCCTCAGCCAGGGGCTTCCACGACATCGTGGAGTGCCTGGCAGGACACGGGGCTGACCTCAACGCCTCGGACAAGGTGCTTTGCGGGGCGGTGCACCCCGCTCACCGAGACGCCATCTGGCGGGGTGGCTGGCTCGGGGGACCCCAGGGCTCTCTCAGAAAACCCACTGTTGAATGCAACAAGGTGCAGTTACCTTCTGCTCCAAAGACCTCTTTCCACATTCTCTTTAACAATTAATACTCACTCGTGACCAGTCCACTGGTCACTATTTTAATTTCAACCCTTTGAACTCTGGTGGGGATACAGTGGTGTTCACTGAATGAATCCCAGATAGCCCTCAGTGGGGACCAAAACTACCAACATCCAAAGAAACAGGTGTTTTATTTACTTCCACCACCTGCTGTTTTCGTTTAAAAAAAAAAAGACCAGCAGTCTCAATTGGAGACCAGGTGTTCCTGTTTTTAACCAAGCAAAATTCGGCACAAGCTGCTTTTATCCTGAACCTGTCCTGAACGTGCAGCTGTGATGTTGCCGTGTGCAGTTAGGCTTAGGTTGGTAAGTCGCTCGTGAAGCCTTGTCTTGGCAAGAAGCAGGGGTTCCCAGCTGGCCCCTGGGGACTTTTTTAGTGGTTGGCAGGCACAGTTGGGGTTTTGGTCGTACTGAGACCTGGTCCATCAAGGCCGATGTGCCGGTCAGCCTTGTAGGACTCACCAGAACCCCACGGCAGAACTGCCCAGCTCCCGACGCTCGGCGTGCTGACCGAGTGAGCGCAGAAACTCGCAGGGGTCAGTGACGAAATGCCTTGAAAACCTCTCTGAGCGACTCCCAGCAGCCAGCCTCTGCTCACCAGGGACTCTGCGATGTGTGGGGTGAATGCCCAGCCGCTCTCCCTCCGGGCCCTTGTGTCCGTGACGGCCTAGGAAGTTAGTTTTAAGTATTTCTGGACAAATGTTTTTCAGAGTGTTTTTTAGGCCCAGGCAAGATGGTGCGGTGTAATCTCAGGTATTCAGGAGGCAGAGAGAGGAGGGTCACCTTTGAAGGCCAGCCCAGGCAAAAGCTTCCAAGACCCTGTCTCAGAAACGAGCGGGTTGAAAGCATGAGACCCTCTCTCAAAAACTAAGAGCCAAAAAATAAAAATAAAAATGCCTGGGGGACTGGGGCCATGGCTTAAGTGGTAGAGCGCTTACCTTGCACGTGTGAGGCTCTGAGTTCAAATCCCCCAGAATAAAATTTGTTTTTTTTTAAGTGTGTTTTTGTTTAAAAAAAAAAAAAAAAAGCTCCGGTTAAACAGGCCGCTGAGCTATAAATAACTTCCGTCTCAATCAATTCAGACACAGAGAGAGGAGTAGGTTCTTTCTACCAGCTGCACGGCCCAAGTCCAAGTTAACCAAGCCGATGGTTTCCACAGACCGTGGTCTCAGACCGTCCAGCGCAGCCTCACGGGGCAGAGGGCGGGGGACAGGAAAGGTGGAGACCCGGGGGAGGGTCAGCTGTCCGGGTGAGCAGCTGTCACGGCGCCAGGTCTGTTTGCAGGACGGCCACATCGCCCTGCACCTTGCCGTGCGGAGGTGTCAGATGGAGGTGCTCAAGACCCTGCTCGCCCACGAGTGCTCCGTGGACTTCCAGGACAGGCACGGCAACACGCCCCTGCACGTGGCCTGCAAGGACGGTAACATGCCCATCGTGGTGGCCCTGTGTGAGGCCAGCTGCAGCCTGGACATCTCCAACAAGGTGAGTGTGCACAGCGGATCCCTGTCGGGGCTGCTTCTGGGTTTGGGCCAAGTGTCTGTGTGCAGCTCTGCATGGCTCAGAGGCAGTGTCACTCGTGCAGCCTTGTCTCGTACAGACGGGGCCCTTTTGAACTGTCCATCCTCAACCGATGGACGCCCACCGGCCTGGGCAAACCAGTGCATTGGGGCGTGCGTGTGCACGTGTGTGCGCGCCCCTGTAGAGGAACGGAGACCGTGGGGCCGATGAGGCATCTCTCTGGGGCACTGTGTCTTCGGGAAATCCTCGAGGACACCATGACTTGGTCGAGGCTCCCAGGACCGTCCTCCACTGAGTGCCCCATGGTGCAAAGTTCCCGACACCTTGAGTGAGTTTGGTCAGACCAGGGGGATGGTGTTACCTGGTGAATAAAGACGTGAAAAATAGCAAATTGTGTGCTTGTAGGGTCATGAAAAAGAATCCCACAGGCTGGTTGGTGTCTCAACGTTGGCCACCACTTCCCGCCGTCCCCCGAGTCCCTTCTAGATTTTCATGCGGATATCTGTGGGTTGTGCCCTGAAACTGCAATGATTGTGTTAAAAAACAAAACAAAACAAAACAAAAAACCCAAAGTCCAGCAGGAATCGACATCTTAGCTGTGGATTAAATGTTGGTTTATAAATGGCGGATACGCTGTCAGCGGGATTTTACTGTGATTTGTTTCGGATAAAAGAATTAGTGTCTGAAACAGCTGGAAAATTGTATGTCTAGTGAAAAACCGTCCCCCTGCATATTATATGACTACTTACTGCTTTGTTGAAACCCGTGACCTTCACTTTCTGGAAGTGTGCAAAGGCGCCATCCCGGGTCTTGGCCGTTAGCGGCTGGTTGTTTTCTTGGTTTATCCCGATCTGATCTTGACAAGTTGTTATATGAGTGACTTAACGGGAAAGCCGGATGTAATATTAAGTAGCGTCAAGACCCGGGCTTTCCTTCTTTTGAATGACCAGCGGTGGCTTCGAGGAACCTGGTGCACTCATTGGACGTGACCGCTGCACGCGTCGAGGGCCTGCTGTGTGCCCGGCACCCGGGATGCAGCTCAGTTCTCAGCCTGAAAAGGCTCTGGTTTCAAATCCCAGCACTAAAAGGTGGGGAGGGGGTCCTTCACCCAGGCCTCAGGGCAAAAAGTAGACCTGTTAAATATCCTTGTGGAAAAATAGCCAGCAGTATTGGGTGTGGTGGAGCAGGGCTGTAATCCCAGGTGAAGGGAGGAAGATCTGGAGTTCAAAGCCAGCCTGGATTTCATCCAGAGCCCACGGTGTGGAGCCCACTGCAGCCGGGCTCCGCGATGCTCGGGTGGTCAGCACGCCACGACTGTGACCGTGACCGTGACCGTATGGGTCTCAGCTCTTCAGAAGGGCTGTTGTCATGCTTCGTCCCAGAGCGTTTTTGAGAGAGGAGGCGGGTGAAGGAAGCGGTTTTGCTTTATAAAATCCCACTCCTGTAGCCAGTCCAGCCCTTTGAGCGCCCAGAGACAGGCATTAGTCCTTTCCCAGGGTGGAGCCCCAGTGACCCACTCGCCTCCCACGGGGCCCCGGCTCTTACAGCTTCTCCATATCACTGCACCGTGGACAAGTCACCGTGTTAACCTTCAGGGACAGCGTCCTCCCTGCCCCCCTCCTCTCCCTTCCTCTTCTCTTCTCTTCAGCATTGGTGGCGATGGCTCCAGTGACGGTGACCTTGACTGGTTCCCCATCACCCAGCGTCCCACAGACTCGCTCAGACGGCGGATGTGGCATGGTGGGGCGGCCCTCTTTCCCCACGGCACTGTCTTGCCTTTTTCTTGATCGACTAGATGATTTCCCTGGAGAGGAAAATAGCCATTCAAACCCTTTGTCACTGTCGTGGTGAACCTCGAAGACAGTGACATTTCCTCAGGCCTGGTTCTTGTCATATGAAGAGCAGGACAGTGACCATTTTTAACCCAGCTGAGTGAGAAAAGGAAGAGACAATGCAGAACACGGGGCCAAGAAAAGCACCGAGGGCTCCACGTCCCTCAGACGCCCCAAGTGTCCTTGTCACAAGGCACTGTGCCAGGCCCGGTGGTTCTGCCCTCGGGCTGCTGTTAGACACATGTTCTTCTGAAGTGGCAGCTTCTCGTGTTGTCACCACTGCAGGGACAGGGCTCAAGTTGCCATGGAGACGCAGAATCAACAATTAGGGCATTAAAGAGTCAAGGCCGGGCACTGTAGCTCACCCCTGTAATCCTGGCTACTCTGTGTGGGAGAGAGGATTGTGGTTTGATAGCGAGACCCCACCTGAGCGTGGTGGCCTGTGCCTGTCACCCTGGTTGTGTAGAGAACATGAACCAGGCAAAACAAGACAACAGTGAGACCCTGCCTTTCAACAAAAGCCACAAGGGCTGGAACACGGCTCAAGTGGGAGAGCACCTGCCTCACCAGTGCAAGGCCCTGAGTTCAAACCCCAGCACCGCCAGAAAGGAAAAATGCGTCCATCAGAAAGGTTTGCTGAGGGGCTCTGACTGGTGAAGCGTCAGGACAGCCGGTGTCATCGTGAGTGTTGCAGGGTGTCGGTTGGGGACCGTAGTGAAGGCAGGGGACAAAGCACAGGTGTTTGGGAAGGAGGTGATTTAGGAGGTTTAGGGGAGGAAGAGAGGTGGAAAGAGACATGGGGACCAGACGGTGAAGGGCCTGGGAGAGAACGCTGAGGAGTTTCAGTTCTTTCTACCCAAAATTGGGGACCTCTCACAGTGTCAGCTTCCTGGTCCCTTCCTCCTTGTCTCTCTGCCCTTCTGCGAGACCGTGTATGTTCTGCAATCAAAATTACAACCTCCCGATGGGCAAAGCCTCCTCTCCTCCTCCTCACCTTGACTCTAGGATAGTCGAGCGCTTACTGTCTGCTTCCTAAATCCCTATGGGGGTGACGCACATGCACCTGTCCCGGCAGCGTTTACCCCACAGGGGGCCGGGAGACCCTGAAGCGTGTCCCCCACCCCGCGCGGGAGGCCGAGCATTCACAAGCATGAAACAGATCGAGTCACAGATGCACAAAAGGATTCACCAGGACCTCCTGGTTCCTCAGCACCCCATGAAAAAAAAAAAAACCTGGTGGCCATGCCTTCAAAGTTTCACCTCGTTAGAGCGTCCCGAATGCCTGTCCTCCTGTCCCCTCCTTCCCTGGCTGTGTCTAAAGTTGAACTATGGTGGCACTGTGCCCTGGCCCTGGCACAGCAGGGAACTGAATTTGGGTTTCTGATGACGAGTGACCCTTCTTTCATCCTTCGAAGTCGGGTTTTCACTGCAAAGTAGGTGACAAGTCGTGCCTGCCTGGCCTGCCTCAGTGGGAGACGGTGCCTCTTTGCTTCCCGTGCACCCCGCCTCCTGGAATCGGAGTCGGCCCCCAGCTCTCTTCCTCAGCCACCCTGAGCCAAAGGGTGTCACCGGCCACAGCGGTGAGAAGAGCTCTGTCACTGTGTCTTTTTCTCTTCCCAGTATGGGCGGACACCTCTGCACCTTGCAGCCAACAACGGTGTCCTGGGCGTGGTCCGGTACCTCTGTCTGATGGGGGCCAACGTGGATGCACTGACCTCGGTGAGTACCGGGCTCGCTCGCTCTCGCTCTCGCTCTCTCTCTCTCTCTCTCTCTCTGTCTCTCTCAGCTGCTGGAAACTTCAGGTATTGCCTGGCAACTGCACGACAAGCTGCTATTAAGCTTTCTCTCCTCCACCGACTCCCACGGGCTCTGGTCCGTGCAACCCTGCCGAACAGCTTGTTAGTGCTTCACCCCCTCTTGCCTCGTCTCTCCAGGCCCCGCTGTGCCAGGAGCCCTGTGGTTCCCGCTGGCACTTTTGTTTTCTTTGCCACATTACACAACAGAGCTGCTGCGATTGCCCTCAGATGTGGTGGCTCCCTCCCCTCGGCCCTAGAGGACGAGGGGACCCTGGGTGGTGCTGTGACACAGTTGCATGTTTGCCCTCCGCTGTTTGAAGGGGCCTGCCTTTCTTTGCTGCTGGACCTGCCAAGTATTTTTAAGTAAGACTTAGTCCCCCCACTTCCCACACCTCACTCTTTTCAGGCCTGCAACCTCCAGGCAGAAGAAACGCTTTAGTCTGCATTTCATGAAGTGCCAGAAGCAGTAGTTTGGCGAATGAGATAGGTGCGGTTTGGGAGTCGGTGGTGGTCCAAGAGTGGGTTGACTGTCTAACCTCTGGATGGGGCAGTCTTGGAAATCACAGGGAGAAGCCTGTCTCAGGGCCCCCGAGCCTGGAAGCTCCTTTGGTTACAGATTACCAAAGGAGTGAGCAAACTTTTGCCCACAGGGCCAAACCAGGCCCACTGCCTGTTTTTGTAAATAAAGTGTTGTTGGAACTCCGCCCTGCCCGTTCTCGCCCCTGCTGGCCCTGGCTGTCCCTGCTGAAACATCAGAGATGTCTCCGACGTGGCCTTTTCCAGGACACGTGCTGACCTGTAGTGTGGGCTTTCTCCCTGCTGTGTTCTTCTTTCACAGCGCTGTTCTGCCCCAAAAGTAATGGGTCTGTCCTGTGCGGCATTGGGCCCAGCTAGCACCGGTGCTCTGCGTGGGGTGGGTCCTCTTCTTGGGGCGCCTTCTCACCCACTGCAAACCCACCCACGCTACAAAAGGCCACCAGGCCTCAGGTGCTGCTGTCAACGCCTTAGCGCGGTGCAGTCACCCTAATAAAGGAGAGAAACGCAGCAAGCAACCTTGGAAGAGGCCAGCTGTCGCTCCCTGCCAAATCCAGCGGAGTGGGTTGGGGCTGCTGATACAATGGCCTCTGGTCTCTCTGCAGGGTCCCTCTCTGAGCCTGTGGTCCTCCCCCTTGCTTTTCCCCAACGCAGCTGTTTGCTTGGTGTCCAGCCGTCCCCTCCCTCAGGCCGTCCTGCAGGTGCAGCTCCGGGCTCGCCGTCCTTCCCCATCCCTGCAGAAGCTCATCCCCCGCACCGGCCTCACCCAGCCTCACCCAGCATGTACCCCGAGGGCTCGTGCATGCAACGTTCAGAGAACCATTTCTCGCCCTAAATACGCAGGCCTGTTTGTCTGCATTTGTGATGCAGAAACAGAAATAAATGCATTTGGGGTGAGGACCGAGCCGTCTCATTAAAAAGCAGGCACTGCCGTGCACCAGGCTCCTCGGTCTCCCGACCATCTCGAAATCAAAGTAGTCTGCTAGACCACCGCTGCCTTCTCTGTGGCGTGCACAGTGATTGTGGGATGACTGTAAAACAGGACCCTGCCCTGACGAGACCCTGATGACGCTTGCGGTTGTTCACCTGGTCGAAGAAAGGGGCTCAGGGCAGGGAGCCATCAGCCAGTGAGCGCCAACCCTTCACCCAGGGTAGTTATTTGGATCATCAAATAGATAAGGATTTCCCACACAGGGCAGCAGTCCAGGACGTGCCCCTTCCGTCTGCGTGATTTTCTTCTGACGCAGCCCGTCGTGTTGGTTTCTGTCCCGTGGATTCCGTGTGTGGAACACAGCCAGTTCTCTTTTGCAGACCAAAGAAACTAACTAACCGGTTTTTTTTGTTGTTGTTGTTGTTTTTTAACAGGACGGGAAGACGGCAGAGGACCTCGCTAAGTCGGAGCAGCACGACCACGTGGCCGGACTCCTTGCAAGACTCCGAAAGGTGAGACGTTCCTGGTTATCCATCTGGAATTCCCTGGCTGTTCTTACGTGACTTTCCCCTTGCAAACTGTCAGAATGGACAGCAGGAGGCTTCGGACACAGGGTTCAGAAAGAGCCCTGTCCCTGTCCTGGGGTTGGCATGCTTACGGTCCCTGGCCTGTTTCTTCTACACTTGGCCTTGAAAAACACTTTGGCCCCATAAGGTGGAAGGGAAATGAGAGCACCCCCTGGGACTTGTTCCTTTTCTGTGGTTTTGAGATCCTGGGTATCGCTTCTGTTTGTCAGACATGGTTGCACGAAGGTTTACAGAAGCTCAGACCACAAGCAGCGTGCATCGAGAGCCTTCGAAATAGTCACCCTCTAAGCGAGGACTCTGTTTTATGCACCAAGATGCTCTTTAAGATGCATTTTAAAAGTTAGATTACCAACAGTAACGTGTAGTAAATTGTCATGCATTTTCCTTGGAGGAAAATTTTGTGTTGTTTTGTTTTGTGTTTGGTTTGGTTTGGTTGTCAGTGTCTCATTAAGTACCCCAGGCTGGCCTCAAACTAGCAATCCTCTTGCCCCAGCCTCCCAAGTGCTAGGATTTCTTTAGAAAGATTTCTTAGCCAGGTGTCGGTGGCTCCCACCTGTAATCCCAGCTACTCAGGAGGCAGACATCAGGGGGATCGTGGTTCAAAGCCAGCCCTGGTAAATAGTTTGTGAGACCCTATCTTGAAAAAACCCAACACAAAAATAGGGCTGGTGGAGTGGCTCAAGGTGAAGGCCCTGAGTTCAAACCCGAGGCCTCCAAAAAAAGATACATGCTCTGCCATGTAAGCTGAAAAGTGCCCTCAGGAGAGAGGAAGGTCACCTTCCTTTGACGCCCACTGGAATCATGACTTTCACAGATGTCCCAGGGTCTGGGAGTGAGGACGTAGGTTGGGAGCTTTTCTTTCCTTGGACAGAATTTAGATTTGGAAAACCCAACGGTTTCAAGTGTATACAGTTGACACCCGTTAGAGCAGACCCGAGGGAGGGTGTGTGATCGGTCATTTATTTGAGCTTGGGATGCTGTGCGCTGTGCACACAGGCACCAGGTGGATACCTGGACCCTGTGGGGTCCAGTCTTCCCTTTGCTCTGGAGATGCCAGAGAGAGCTAAGTCTAGAAGACTTTCCACCTTTCGCCCCTGCTCAAACAGGAAGTCTAAGTGAGAACCTCACCGTGATGGTCAGTAATGACTTTTAGGTGAAGTGTCCTAATTTTCCAATTCAGTTCTTCTGAAGCAGGAAATCAGCCACACAAAACACAACCCAGACCCCAGTCCACAGCTGTGGCTTTGGCAGGGCTGTCGAGTTGGCAGCCATGCTTCTTTCTGGACGTAGAGCCTGTTTCTAGACCGAGTCAGATGTCGGCGCTGACTTGAGTCAGGTTCCCATAATAGTGTCTGTCCGAGGATGAAAAGAGATGGAGTCTGGGTGGGCGTGAGTTGTGGACTTCGTTCAGTGTCGGTCTCTATGAGGGTCCGCTGGTAGGAAGAAGCACTTTATTAAGGGCCGGGGAAGGGTTTTTGTGCAGACCTCATCCCTTCACCAGGTGTGTAGACCTGCTCCCTCGGGGGTTCTGCAAAGGGAGATGTCAGCCCACTGACGCCCTTGGTCTGCGTAGTGTCCCCAGTGGTCAGTGGTAGCTCGCAGGCGTTGGCTGGCCTCGCTCACCTGCAGAGAGCAGCACTTTTCACGCCAGGGCGCTCAGGAACATGGGGTCACGTTCTTTCTTTGAGTGCTGATCTCCACAGAGCAAAGCTCATCACAGAGCAGGGGGCTCTGGGGACATGCATCGGTCCACCTCAGCAAAGCCCAGATGACACCCCAGGACTCTGAAGTCCAGAAGGCACCCGCCCTCTGCAGAGGGGCAGCGTTTGGTGGACCGTGCTGTGTGTCAGTACCCATCTTCCCTATTCTTTTATTTCAAAGGAGGCCATTGCACTTGTAGGCAAGCCCAGGTGTACCGCACAGCGGCAAGCCTGAAAAAAATTAGCGAAAAGATGCTCGGAAAAACAAACCCTAAAAGGGAGCGCGAAATGGTACCAGGGTTGGATTGGATGGTGGTGGCGTGCAAGGTATTTCTCCCCTTTGCCCGTTGCCCACGTCTTCTGCACTGTTAGAATCAGAAAATGAACAACGAGGAGCCTGTGGGGTGCTGGTCCCCCGCACCGCAGGGAAAGGTGGGGCTGTTTTCCACTTAGAATGCTGAATTTAGTGCAGGTGGGTTCCTGCCCTGTTGGAGGTTTTCTTTCCTTTCTCTCCTTGACTGGCACTTTTGTGTTTTGGTTTCTGCATTTTTAATCTTAATTTCTTTTTGGCAGTACCGGTGACATTAGACTCAGGACCTCGAGCTTGCCAGGCAAGCGCTCTACCACTTGAACTTCTCCCCCAGTCCTTTTGCTTTTCCTTTGTTTTTCAGGTAGGGTCTTGCACTTTTACCCAGGGTGCTCCTCCTACCTCCTTCTCCCAAGTGACCGGGACTGCAGGCATTTCCCACCACACCTGGCCCCGGGTGCCTGCATTTTTAAAGGAAGGTTGGGAGGGGAGTATTACAGAATTTAGTACTTATCATCGTCCTGTGATTGATTTAAAGACACCATACCCCTTGTCCCTAGAATCTACAAAAATTCTCTGTCACCTCTCTGTGCAAGGTAGCAGCGGGAGCACGGCCTGGGGTGTCAGGTGGCCGGGGCTGCAGTCCCAACCCTGCCTTGTTCTTACATACACCTCTGTGCCTCCGTGTCCCCATGTACGTATCCAGCGGGGTGAGTGTGGTGCCACCTCACAGCGGGGTGAGGAGGCTTGGATGGGTTGATGTGAATGACGTCCTGAGAAGAGCACCTGCACACAGGAAGCACCACGTGTTTGCTGTTGTGGCCAGAGCTCTTGCTTGGATGTTAGCGTGTCAACAATGGGCGCCTGTGTTGGGGACACCGGAGCATCACTCAAGCCCCTGGGTGGAGCTGGCCCTCCCTGAGGTTTCATGGGACACGGCATTCCTGCAGGAGGCCAGCGCCAAGGGCACCGAGCCACACGACTCGGGTTCAGGCAGAGCTGAGATTCTGACCTGACGTGGCCACCCATCCGTCCCCCAACGCCCTTCCAGGGAGCACGGTTGGATTCCAGCAAGGACAGCGGCCTTTCTAGACAGCCCACTGAGCCACCTGCCAGTAGCAGGTGGGGCCACTGGTGGGCCGTGGCTCCTGGTTCCTTCAGCAGGGTCTTCTAGAAAAGGTGTTCAACAGGACCCTCTTGTTGGATCGCCTTTGTCACCTCCAGGTGACTCTAGACTCCAGCTTCCTGGTGAGCCAGAAAAGGAGCACTTGTAATCACACTGTCACTTTTCTTGTTGTTTCGTTTGTGTGTTTTGCCTTTGTGCCTAGCACTTGGGTTCACCCAACGCTGGGATTTGGCCTTGGACGTGGTGGTGGTAGATTGCGACAGGAGCAGGCGGTACCTGCAGGAAAAGCCAAGGTGATACATTTATTTGTAATTAAATCTGGGCCACCCGGAGGAAGCTTCCTATGGACAACCTGCGTGGAATAGAGGGTTCCGGAGGGGAAGAGGTTGGTTCGGGAGTATTCAGTACTGTTTTCTTGTCAGCGTCACTTCTCCTCTCACCAGGGTACCGTTGGCCTTTTGGGTGGGTGGGACGTCCTGTCTTTGTGTAATCTTTCTGGTTCCTGGCATCCAAGGGATGTCATAGCATCCCTTCCGCCACTTCACCGAGATAACCAGCCCGCCACCCCTTACCCAGGAGCCCCTGCAGGTGGACAGAGCGCACTCCCAGGGAGGGGTCAGTGGCTGGGAGAGCCGGATGTTGGTCTCAGTTGCCCGCCATTCTGTTTGGTCCACGGCAACAGCGATGCTTCCTCTCGTCAGTTAACCTTGCCTAGGGATGTGCTTCTGGGCATTCGCTGGGGAAGCAGGGAAGATTCGGCTTCTGGAATAGAATCGAAGTCCTCTGCTTTGCCTGGGTCCACAGGGGCCAGCAGGGGAGCAGGAGAGGCTGTCAGGTGACCAGGACAAGGAAGGGACCTTGCAGCCTTGCCTTCAAGGGACCTCCCCCTCGGGTGGGGTGGGACGGACTGAGCGGGTCAAAGTCAAGCCCGGGGCTGGGAGAGAAGGAAGTACATGGGGCAGGGCTGAGCTGTGTAGGGTCACCATGTTGAATTGGGGCTGGAACTCTGGCAGTGTCCCCAAGAGCCACCCTTCTGCATCTCCTATCAAGTCGGGGTCATCACACTGGGGTCTTGTAGTCAGCCCCAGTGGGAACCTGACTTGCAGGATCCCTTTTCCTACCGAGCTAGTTTGCTTTGGGGTGGAGGCGGGGTGTCTCCAGAGGCCCCTCAGCTGTACTCTGGCTGGAAGTCACCTGTCTGCTCCATTGTGTGCAACTCCTACCAGGAAGCAAAGCCCCACACAGCCCCCCAGACCTGCCCAGAATCGTTTCTGCTGCCTAGCCAAACCTAGCTCCCTGTTCACCTTGGAAAAAGGACGATTTGGGTCCTGACAGCAGGGAGAAGGTAGGTGGAGTTTGCATTGACACCCATTTTTGCTGTTTGTCCTGGTAAACCCCGTTCTTGTCTGATGTTAAAATAATAGTTTCAGAGGCTTGGGGAGTTGGCTTATTTTATTTTGCTTGCCATTCTAATCAGATTTTTCTCCTAAGCTTAGACAGTGGAAGGGTGCCCAGGAATATTTTGGGGAAACAGGACAGCATTGGGAGTTGCCCCAAATTTAAAACATGACCAGGAGTAAAGCACACCAGTATAACTAGTGGCATCCTGGGTCCAGTTGCATCCTGTGCGTGTGGAGCCCACATCGCCTTATCTGGCTTCCTCGGCTGGCTCGTGGATGGGCCTCCCTGTCATTCAGCCTGCACAGGCTCCGTCCTCTTCCTGACAAGAAGGTGAAAGCTAACTGCCGGGGACAAGGGGCTGGAAGAAAGGGAACTAGAAACCCAGAGACTCTGCAGGGTTCCAGAGAGCGGTGCAGCTCCCCAGGAACATTCATTCGTGCACACATCTAACAGAAATCCCAGATCTGCTGTGCACCAGGGACCATTCTGGGCACTAGAGAGACCACAGTGAGCAGAAGTGGCAAGAGGGATCCAGCCAGTGACCAAAATGAGAAAAATACCAGTGTAGGGCAGGTCAGGGGTTGGCAGTGATCTAGAGGTGAAAGTCTCTTGGGACACAGCCATGTCCATTCACTTATTCCTGTCTGTGGCTGGTTTGCAAACTGGGCAGAGCTGAGTGGTGATTCAGGCGCCATCTTGGTCTCTACAGGGTGCTCTGCTGACCCCTGGTGGCCGTGCCTCGCAGGGCACTAACCTAGGAAGAAGTGAGGTGCAGTGATGGGTGGGAGCACCTTAACCTGGCTGACCAGGAGGCTTCTCTGATGTGACATTGGAACTGACACCTGGAGGACAAGAGGCAGGAGTCAGGCAGAGGAAGGCTGGGGGCAGGGAGAGAGAATAGTGAGTGCAAAGGGCTGAGGCAGCTGAGTTGAGCTTGTTCCAGGGAACAAACAAGAAAGGAGGGTGACAGGCAGTGCCAGACCTTGAGCGTGGTGGCTCAGCACTGACGGATGCTCGGCGTCAGGGAGCCAGGTGCAGCTTGCAGACCTGGGGAGGAGGTTGGTTCCACCCGGGCTTGTGAAGCAGGCAGGTGTGAGACCTGACTTCGCTGTAGGAATTCCCTCTGATCGTTCATGCTGCAGGGTCAAGGTCAGGAATGGGGCAGAGAGCCCTGGGAGGAGGAGGTGTTGGCGCCCAGGTGGATGAGCTGGTGCGTGGCTGGGCTGTCCAGGCTCCATTAGCAATAGAGGCTGACATTGCTGTGTGTATTTGGAGTAAATGATGAAAGTCACAAACAGGACTAGAACCTGCCCTACAGGTCCACCTCATGACCACCCCCAGGGTTCTGTACTCCTTGGATCGGAGGTGGGAGCTGGGGTCTTTCCCATGCTGGTCTCAGTCTGCCCTGAGGGGGCCTCCCCAACACCCTGAGTGTCCTGGGCCTCGTGTGTGGCCCAGTCCCCCCCGCAGACCCGGGGGGCACACACTGAAGGCAAAGTTTAGTTAGCACAAAACAATCCCAGCTCTCCACTCACCAGGGGTGTGTGGTGGACAAGCTTTGGCCTGGCCCAACCCATTAGTGCCTGACCAGGTGGCTTTATGGGCACCCCTGGTCTCAGGAAGCTTTTGTTAAGTAGAGACTGTGGGTGGGCTTTTGTGCTCCCCTCCAAATAAATGAAGATTCACGCCACCTTCTAAATCTCCCGTGTTGGAGAACACAGGCCGCTGGCTCGTGAAAGATGCCTGTGGGCCGGGAACCTTACCTGCTCCGCCATCTAGCGGTGAGAAGTGAAAATACACCCCCCCCGTGCGCACCTTCACGACTTCCATCATGGAAAGCCGTGTTGATTTAGTTGTGTTTGGGTTCCCCGAGGCTCTCAGTCAGGAGGATGAGGGGTCTTCCTGTAGGATGAGGAAGCTAGAAGACCCAAGGATATTTTCCTTTTTTTATTTTTTATTTTTTGCCTTTCAAGATTGAGGGGAGCTCTGTCCATCTTGGTCTGGACACAGGGACAGGAGGAGAGGTGGCCTGGAGCCCCTTTTCTCGTCCTCTGGGAAAAACCTGGCAGTGAGCTGTGGGTGGGTTTTACGGCCCCTGTGAGCTGCACAGGGGTTTGCATCCATCTCCGTTCCCTGTGGCTGTCTCTTCCATCCCTCACCCCCCCCCCCATTTATTGGGTTAGCCCAAGAAACGGGGGCACACACACTGCCATCCGCTGCCCACCTGGGAACTCAGAATAGCTATGCTCTCGACACCTGCAAGGCAGAGACACAGCTTAGCCTCCGCTCTAAGATCAAGTCACCCTGTAGGTCTGGAGTCACTTCTAGAAGCCACACCGGGGCAGCAGAGTGTGCAGGTTACCGTGGTTCCACTCCTCTCAGAGTGGACGGGCCTCGGGGACTGAGGCCAGGACGGCAGTGTTTGCCCAAGGTTCCCGAGTCAGGACCCACAGGGCATGGGACAGGCAGAGGTGAGCTGCAGGCCAGACCTGACAGCGCTCCTTCACCAAAACAAGTGTCCCTGGATCCCACGAGGGGACTGAAGCCGAAAGCAGGGTTTCTGCCTTTCCCCGTCACGGGTGAAGCAGGCGTGGGCTGCTGCAGAGGTCTTCTCTGTGTGGCTGTCACTAAGAAGAGGTAGAAAGCACGTCCATCTGCTCCGTGAGCTGCTCACCATGGAAGGTGGTCACTGCAGCACACAGTGACTGCCACTAGTGTTTCTGTGTGACACAGGTGTGGGCAGGACTGCCAGATCCCAAAGGAAGATGGAGGGCCGACCCTTAGGGGTCAGAAGATTGGAGGGGGGTGGGATTCCTCCAGCAGGCCAGGGGCACCCAGTCTTATGGGCCGATCCACCCCAACACAGGACATTTCAACCATGTCAACCAGGGGACTCCCCCGTGAGCGCCTGTCAGAATAGAGCCTTGTCCTCCTTTGCACCAACTCCACGGCCAGTAAACAAGAGGACTTCCCGGCCAGATCCCTGCCCTCCTCTGCCTGTGCGGCACTCAGTAAACCCATCGAGATTTGGGGTTGGAGGAAACCAGAGTGAGGTGCGATTCCTGACCTAGACATGGCTTCCTCCCCTCCGTGCTCTGGCTTCTCGCAACCTCATTTGTGACGCCCGAAATAAAACCCGTACAGAAGAGCGCGTCACACACAGGTCAGAAGACTGTCCTGGCCGGAGCGTAACAGACCCCGAAGACGTGATGCGGTTCAGGGCAAGGGTGAGACTGGTGAGACCCAAAGATGCCACTCCCATGCCCCGAGTTCCTGAGAGCAACTCCCACCCACACCGGCTGGGCAACTGGTGCTAACGGGACAAGCGGTCACAAAGCAGCGCTTGGGCGAAGGGTGCGCAAGCACCAAGTTACACGGCAGTCGCCGTCTTGGAAAAGTCAGGGCGTGTTAAAACATAGCCCTCCCCGCCCGGTCCCTCTGGGTTCCATGTAAAATGCACTTCAGTCCTAAGCTCAGACGTTTGCTAACAGGATTGTCTCCTATATAAATGCGCAACAGATAGCTCCCAGGTCATAAGGACCCAGGAATAATCTTCACTAGGGAAAATACTTTGTGCACAGGTAGCGTTTGGCGTAGGTAGCATCCCAAAGAATACTACAGCAATGCTACACGGTGCCCACCAGGGGGCGGTGTCGCTCCTGCTGAGAAAGACTGGTCCCAAAGTAGAACTGGAACCCAGGGCTAGGATAATTGGGAGTCCTCCGGGGAGTGGTACAAGTTTGCAAACCGCACAGTTATCAATGGAGAAAGTTACAGTAGCTTAGCTGGAAGAGACCAACAGAAAGTGAGGGCTCCTCAGGATTATAGAACCGGGGGAAATGGCCCGGCCAGGTATGAGATCTCTGAGGTGCCGTCTCTGCCCTCTCTGCAAGGACAGGGCTCTAATTGTTCTACAGTTTGCATAATTCCCCACGGCCATGGAGAGCTGTGCGCGCCCTCAGCCTGCTAAGGAGAGGAAGGTTGCACGATGGGTTTTGTGGGATGCATAGAAGTCAGGCTGGAGTAGCGGGGTCCTCTTCAACTGGGAGGAAGGAAAAGACCTCAGGCTGTGTGCAACAGCTCCAAATAGGACAGGCAGTGGTGGAAATGAGGCAGGGGTACATGGAGAGGATGGAGGCAGGGTGGCAGGAAGGAAGCCCCCTGCATAGACTCTGAGATGGGCCTCGGTACCTGGGCAACACCATCCGGTCAAAAGCACCTGTGATGTACTTGACGTCGTGTTGTGAAAGTGTCTGTACCTCCCCAGGGCTCTAGATCTGGGCTGTGTCTGGATCTTCTGGCTCTCTGGACTGGGCTTAGCACATGGGACAGCCTTGTGTTGCAGATGAGCGAGTGAGTGAGTGAATCTGGGAATGACCCCGTGGTGGGGAGGCTCCTGCCCTTCCCTATAGGTCCACAGAAGGAGAAAGAGAAAGGTGCTGTGTCCCCAGCCCCTCCACAGCACGTAGTCTTGTTTCTTGTGGTGTCTCCTTCTCACACCATCAGAGCCCCCTCAAGGAGCCAACCCTCGCTCAGAGGAGCAGGCTGTGCCCGCCTGTGCTGGGACAGTGCCCTACAGGCACCAGCCCCCCATGTGGACAGGAACAGGCTCTGCCCTCCTGTGAAGGGACCAGAGCTCTCACACCGATAGAAAGAGGGTCCGCCATCCCGGGCCGTGATGGTGCTGTCAAGGGGCCAACCCATCATACATGGAGGAGTGGGCTCCACCCTCCTGCCATGACAGCGCCATCAAAGAACCAGACCCTCCACACTCAGGAACAGCCCCCAGCCCCCAGCTCATGCTCTCAGTGATGCATCACTGGTCCTCCGTCTGAATTGTCAGGCATGGACCTGGGCCAGCCGTAGACAGAAGTCAGAGCAGGAGGTCACCAGGGGCAGAGCAGAGGGACCGCAAGGGATTGCCAGTGGGTAGGCCCCCTCTGGGATGAGGTGCTCTGGAACGAGGTGACAGTGGCCCTGGCCCAGCACTGGACATGCACAGAGTCTCTGAATCACACACTTCAAAATGGTGACTTGGGTGGGGTGTGACTTTTGCACGACTTCTTCACACACGGAGTGGAGGCCGAGCCACTGGTCTGCACTGTAGGTGTGAGCCTCGTCTGTCCTCACAGGCTGCTCGATTTCTGTGACTCACAGCTCTCGTCCCTCTGTGTCCAGGACACTCACCGAGGGCTCTTCATCCAGCAGCTCCGACCCACGCAGAACCTCCAGGCGAGAATCAAGCTGAAGCTCTTTGGTCACTCGGGGGCTGGGAAGACCACGCTGGTGGAGTCTCTCAAGTGTGGGCTGCTCAGAAGTTTCTTCCGGAGACGCAGGCCCAGACTCTCCTCCACCAACTCCACCCGGTTCCCGCCGTCCCCGCTGGCCACCAAGCCCACAGGTAGGAAGCTCAGGTGGCCTCTGCGTCTCCCCGAGCTGTTGCCTTCTGTACCCTCTCCTGTCCACGTCTGGTCATGGATGATGGGATCCTGTGGCCCTGGTGGCTGTCACATGTTGGCCTGTTGGCCTCGTGTCCCCCTCCCTTCCTCTCGTTCAGTGATGACAGACTGCTCCAGCCATAGCAGGAAAGGGGCCTCCGTGAAATCACAGTCAGGACACATGAGCCCGCACCCGTCAGAAGCAACGTCCATTCCCCTCCCTCGGGGGTGGTCTCCCGTCTCTGCCTCTAGATAAGACACCGCCATGATGTAGTAACCTTGGGCTTTAGCCAGTGCCTGGGTAGACTTGGTCACAGGTGCCGGAGCAAATGCACCACTCACCTGCTCTCTGTAGGACCATGGCGGGCCTGGTGAGGAGGCTTCGCCTCCTATTTTCTGTCACCCCAGGCTCAGAGCTGCCTTCTCCAGCTGAATCCTTCTCTTTCTGCCTCACCTCACCCAGGTAGCAGGAGCCCAGCTTCTCCAAAAAAGGAGGGGCCGTTCTTATGCAAACCCTTGCAGCTCCATGTTCTCAGGTCTTCCTGGCACCCTGCCATTTCAGAGGACGGGGGCTCAGCTCCCAGCAGGAGCTGAAGGAACGGGACCCCCCCCCATATACTGTACCTCTTCTGGGCACCAAACGTCACCCTTCACTCAGGAAGTGTGAGTCTGAGGAAGTAGCACCTGCCAGAAAAGAACGAGAAAGCCAAGGGAACCCCAGAAGGCTGTCCAGCTTGCAGGGTGGTTGGTAAAACCCAGAAGCGTGTGTGGCTACTTGGGATGAAGCAAGGCCCGTGAGAAGGGCCTGTGGGATCAGTACAGCTCTTGCTACCTGGATTCCAGGAGCTCCGTGGGGGTCACCTCATTTGGTTTTCATGAGGTCAGATTATAAACCCATCTCAGAGCAAAGTAACCTGAGGCCCGGAGAGACCTAAGGTGACTTCCTGGGTGAGGTGAACGCCAGCCTGCAGTGGGCCTGGCCTTCACCGGCCTCACCGGTTGCCACGTTCTATCTAGAGGGAGGAAAGGGATGAGGACATTTCCACTCGTTTCCAGACTCTCGATCAAGGGCGCTGACCCGAAAAACGGAAGGGGAAGTACTGGTCACACTGGACTCGCCCTACCGCCTGGCACCGGTTATCAGCTGCCCACCGAGAGGGACACACACAGGCTCCCTATCTCACCACGGTCTCCACCTCCACCCCGACTCCAAGAGTCCTCTAGAACTGGAAAGGGCGCAGAGCAGGCCTCCTACCCGTGTGCGAAACCCTGCCCTGTGACCAGTGGAGAAAGGACAGCCCGAGTGCTTTGGAGCGTGAGACCCTGGATAAGGTCACGCCTGGTCAGTGTGAGAGGTGGATTGGACCCAAGGTGTCCTCCAGGGGGACCCAGACAGGGGCGAAAGAGATACATATCCCCGAGTGGTCCCCATCACTTAAAACCCAGGTGGCCCGGCAGCTGCTCCAGGGCACAAGAAGGCCGTTTTGCAGTCCCCAAAGTAACGAGATTCTGCTGCCTTGAATCCGGCTCCTCCCTGTAGCCTGCAGCACAGTTGCCATCCTGCTTCCCACAGCTCCTAGCACTGCTCCGCGACCCGGCGCTGCTCTTGTCTTCGTTCCCCTGGGCGCTGGGAGCCGTGCAAGAAGCCGGAGGTGGGACGGAGGGTGACACAGTGATCTCCTGTGACAAATTCGCAGAGCCCCCAGCGTGGGAGGTGGCACCGAAAGATTCGGTGGAGATCTGACCCCTAACTCACCCCACGCTCGCCAGGTGCCTGAGAGCCACACGCAAGCGTCACTCAGCCCACTCGGGGCTCTGGCTGTGGAGTTGTGGGCCTACGGGTCAGAGGGGACTTGAGAGGCCGTTCCTGCCCTCTCCAGGGAGCTCCATGCCGCTCCCACTTGTTGGCCGTAGGGGGCGGTAGTTAGCAAAAAAGGCTCACAATCAGAACATTTTCATCCCGTGGTTTCAGCATTTATTTTAACCCTGCTGTATACAAACCCCGCCCTAACATCATCCTCCCCGCAAAAACCATTCATCCTCCTCACGAAAACTGCCACCAAGGTACGGGAATGACAGCCACCTAGCAAATACTGCCTGCCTTCCTCAGTAAGCAGAAGAGCCCGAGGCCACTAACCAGGTGCACTCCTGTCAGACGGTTGCCCTGGACACAGGGACCCGGGCAAGCACATTCTGGGGGATCCCGAGGCTCTTGTGAGACTTGAAATCATGATTCCTATGGAGTACTCACCGTGTCGACCTGGGTGACGTCATCCCCTTGCAGTCCCCAAGCTTTATATCTTTATAGTCAGACTAAAATCTATAAAAATCACCGTGCACTCAACCTCAAATGACGACACGTGCAGAGTGCCGCACTTCTGCGTGGCTCGGGGTTCTGGAGGGGAAGGCGCCCGCTTCGTTAAAAAGACGGTCATGTGCAGAACGCAGGGAACACAGACTAGACGGTGATGCGCCCAGAGGCTAGGAACATCTGAGGCTGAGGGGACAAGAGGCAGGAGCCCAAGTGTTGGGAGAACCTGGCGCCGTGGGGGAGAAGTCACAGAGACGTGGCCAGAGTCAGAGAGAGGACAGGCCTGGCCTTGGTGTCCTCTTAACCCTCTCCCGCTCCTCCCCTCGGCTGCCCCTCTCCAGAAGTCAGTCAGCAAGCGGGCCTCAGAAATGCAGTCTGTACGGTCAGCCTTGGCCCAGGGCAGAGACCCGAGAGTCCCGGGAAAGTGGAGGGAGCGCAAGCCCACGCTGCCCTCCACGAGGCCTCACGTCCGTCCTTCCTTCCTGGCCCACAGTGTCCGTGAGCATCAACAACCTGTACCCTGGCTGCGAGAACGTGAGTGTGAAAAGTCGCAGCATGGTGTTTGAGCCGGGCCTCACCAAGGGGATGCTGGAGGTGTTCGTGGCCCCGTCCCACCACCTGCACTGCTCAGCCGACGACCAGTCCACCAAAGCCATCGACATCCAAAACGCCTACTTGAATGGTACGTGCCACCGCCAGCGCCCCCCAAGGCAGGGACCTCCGATCGCCCTCTGACTCGGCCGCTCCAAAGGGAGCCTGTCCCAGAGAGCACCTGTCACACCCAAAGAAAGTCCTGTGCCAACCAGGAGTGACCCCGAGCTGAAGCATGGCGGGCCGACACCCCCGAGCATAAGCAAAGTTTTCAGTGTGTCTGTTCTCAAGGCAGGACGCTGCCTAGCCTGGGCTGACCCTGAACTCACTACATAGCCTAGGCTGGCCTCCAACTTGTGAACCTCCTGCCTCAGCCTCCGTAGCACTGGGTGGGATTAAAGGCATGTGCGGTCATGCCCGGCTAAGTGTGTTCCTCCCTTTCAGGCATTCCCAAGTGAAGAGATTTCCAAGGGAAATCTGTTGTTTTTATTATGATATCAAAACGCCTTTGACTGGATGCTTTATAAAGGAAAGAGCTTTATTTAGCTCATGGTCTCAGAGGGTGAGCAGTCAAGGTTGGGAAGCCCCATCCGTTCAGTCTCCGTGTTGACGGAGGGAGCGTTAGACGGGGCAGGAAGGAACCAGCCTTGATTTTTTTTTTTTTTTAAATAGCAGTTCACCCCCATGAGAACTAACTCGTTCTAAGAGACCAGCAGAATCCCTTCTCAGGGCGGGACCCAGTGACCCAGCCACCTTCCTCTGGGCCCCGCCTCTACCTCTAAACACCACCACAGTGTGGAGCAAGCCACCAGTGTGTGTGACCTTTTGGGGGACAAGCCACATGCAGGTACTGTCCCTGGTCCGTGAGTTTCCTGTTCTCACAGCGTGAGCTGTTACTGCTTCATCTCTGCTGGTCCCAAGGCCTTAAGCACACTTTCCCAACATCATTCAGAGCCCAAGTCCAAAGTCACATCTCAAGCTTAAGACAACCTCCTTCCAGCTGTGAACTGACAAAAAAAAAGGTGGCCAACACTGTGATCCCAGCTACTCAAGAGAATCACAGTTCGAAGCCAGCCCAGGCAAATAGTTCAAGAGACTCTATCTCAAAAATCCCTTCACAAAAAAAGGGGGAGTGAGTGGCTCAAGGTGAAAGCCCTGAGTTCAAGCCCCAGTACTGCAAAGAAAAAAAATTCAGCTACTTGCCCAAGATGTAGCAAGTGGAGCAGGGATAAGGTAAAGATTCCTCTTTCCAAAAAAAGTCATCGTAGGACATAGAAAGGGTAGATGGCCCAAAGCAGAAGTGAAACCAGCAGGGCAGACATTTAATCTCACAGCTGTAAGCCCAGCATCCATGTGACTCTGGGCTCAGGCTGTCCCCAGCTGACACTGCGTGATGTCGGTGGCTCGGCCTTCCTTTGGTCCCAGCTGCGGGTCCACTCCCGTGACCCCACTAGGCATTCTAGAGAAGACCTCTTGAGGGCTCCATCCCAGAGGCGTCACCATCTTTGCTGTGAAGGGTTGGTGGAAGCCACCGTGACCCCGTGTTGTCGGCTCTACATTTCTGCAGTGCGCACCACATGGCAGGAGCCCCACGGGCCCCACGGGCCCCACGGAACCGTGAAAAGCAGACATCAGAACCCCGAGGTGGCTGGGCAGTGAGCCACGTGGAGGGCCTGGGGCCCATTCCTTGGAACCATTCTACCCTTTAGCCCCTGGGCCTGCGATGGGAGGGGCAGCCTCAAAGATTGAGGTACACTTGTGGTCTTTTCCTGATTTTCCTGGCCGTTGACAGCCACGCTAGTCTTGCTGGCACAAACCACTTTTTTTTTTTATTAGCCCTTTTCACAGGCAGTGTGACTTTTCCAGATCCCTGTGCTGCTCCCTTTTGCTCCCAAGGCTGACTGTCAACTCATTGAAAGTGGCCAGTGATGCACAGCGTGAACGCTTTGCCTGCTGAATGTCCTAGGTCCTTTTAAATTTTGCCTACCACACAGCTCCAGGGCTCAGCCACAGGTCCGCCATGTTTTTTGTTTTGTTTTGGCTACTTCATAACAAGGATGGCTTTTGTCCAGTCTCCAATCTGAGCCTGCTCTTCACCTGAGCCCTCTCACCTGTAACTCTCCACTTACAGAATTCTAGGCTTTTTCTAGCCTGCTTCTCAAAGCTCTTCCAGCCCCAGCCTCTGCCATTACCCAGTTCCAAAGCTGCTTCTACATTTTCAGATACCGTGACAGCAATCACCCCACTCCTTGGTACCAATTTCCTATGTTACCTCGTTTTCCAAGCCTCTATCCAAATACTCAGGCTGCCTACTTTATAAAGAAAAGAGGTTTTGAAGGTGAAAGTCCACAATCAGGTGGCCCCATCAGTTTGACCTCTGGTGAGGGCCTCCCCCACCCCCGCCCCCGCCCCTGCCGTGTTACAACATGGTGGCCGGCATCACAGTAGGAGTGCTGGTCAAAGGGGAAAAAAAATGGGGAGGAAGGAAGCCAGAGACCGGGGTGGGCCCAGGCTTTGTCTTTTAAAACAGCCCGCTCTCACAGAAAGTAACTGCCCTTCCCAGGGCAGTGTCCCAGTGTCCTCACACCCTCCACGGTGCCCACCTCTCAGTATTCAGTGTTTACCTACTGACGTTGTGGTCATTTAATACCAGTCCAGACTGCCGCCCCACCCTCCCACCCCCTTACAGTGGCTCAGAGGTCATTAAGTCCAGGGTTCCCCGGGCTGCTCGTCTGGGGACCTTGCTTTGAGAACCACTAGAACCTTCCGTGTGCATTCGCTCCCTTAATAGTTAGTGTTCCCCAGAACAGACCGAGGGGAGGCTTGTCCTTGGGCTCCACTGCCTGCGCCCTCACCCCAACTCAGGCGCCCAACCCTCAGAAGGCCTCTTCCTGTATCCTAGAACTTTCCATGCTAGGCCTGAGCTGCTGTCACCCCCGTGCCCCCAGGGGAGGTTATAAAGGCCTTCGATACCCCAGGCCGACTCTTGGCTGCAAGACGTCTGGCTCAGAAGCCCCGAGTGGGGAGTGATGGGTGTCCAGTGGGGAGTGACGGGGGTGGTCGAGATTCTAAATGGTCACTGGGAGGCCCCGGGAGCCTTAGGAATGGTCCGGTCAGATCTCACCAGTGACATTTCATAGTGACTTCCACATGGACCTTTTTATACTTGACCCGTTCCAATTACAATGTATACCGATTTCAGGACCTGGCACTTTGTTCTCCTATGTTCTCTTATTTAAATGTCCCCTGGCTTTGGGACAAAAAGGACAGCTGGCTCCCTGAGTCCCTCATGGTCAGGAGCGAGCCCTGCAGGTAACGGTGAGATATGTCCACAGCTGGGCTGTGATGATGCAGTCACTCCCCATCACGCACTCGTGGATTCTGACGGGAAGATCGCCACTTTTCGGATCCGAGGTACCTGTGCACACGCTGACACCCCACGCGCACACGTGGACCTCTCCAGGGTGTTTTGAGTAGATCTGACACAGACATGGCAAAAGAGAACACGATGAAGGCTTTCCAGGAGGCAGAGGACCCCACAGGCCAGGACCTTGGTAGGTCAGTGCCTAAGTAGGTGAAGCCGGTGTGCACTTAACACCGATGGATGCCACGGGCTGCCGCTGACCCTACACACAGTCCCTGCAGTGCCAAGAGGCCCTGTGGTGGTGGTTCGCGACCGTAACCGTTGCTCCTCTTTCTCCGTAGGGGTTGGCGACTTCAGCGTGTGGGAGTTCTCTGGAAATCCCGTGTACTTCTGCTGCTATGACTACTTCGCTGCAAACGATCCCACGTCCATCCACATCGTCGTGTTCAGTCTAGAAGAACCCTATGAGATCCAGCTGAACCAAGTGATTTTCTGGCTCAGTTTCCTCAAGTCTCTCGTCCCAATTGAAGAGCCCATAGGTGAGCAGAGCCCCCGGGCCAGTGCCTTGCTCTCTTCTTGCCGCTGCCCTGACCTCCCGCCCGTGTGGCCACACCAGACCCCACGCTGCAGCCTCCTCCCTGTCTCCATCCCACTAAGAGATGTCCACCCCAGGAAGCTACTGGGGCTCTACCAGGCATTGTGTCCTGGGGGGCGTTTTGTGTCCTGATCCGATGCTCCTGCCCCGAAGGCTGGACCCTGAGCTACTCCTTGAGCCGTTTCTCGCCTCCTTCTGCTCCTTACAGCCGTGCTCATCTTGCCGGTGCAGGTGGAGCCTCCTTCCATGGCCCCGGGTTCCTCACGGAAGGTGCTTGCTGCCTTCTGCAGATGCATCGACCCTGGGGAAGAGGACCGGTGGCCTGACTGTGCCATCTTGCCTTTGTTCCTTGGGGAGGATGACGTGGGATGAGCCTTTCTCCTGCGCACAGCAGGACCCTTGCCCGGCAAGTGCAGGACTCAGCAGTTGGTGTCTTTGCAGAAAGCACATGGCAGTAGATACACTGGGCTCCATCTCTCCAGAGGCTGCCATTTTTGTCACCTTCTTCTCCCTTCATCTTGTTGAGCTCCCATCAGTGAGGCCCTGCTGTGTGCTGCAGGCCTTTCTCTCTGAGCTGTCCCTGGGGTGTGGCTCATTCACGGGGTTTCCTCCATCCTGTGAAGGGCCCCCCTTGCTGGGCTTGGAGCCCCCCTCACACGGCAGGAGCATTTGGAGGAAGCCCTGAGAGCTGCTTTGTGGGCTGGGGTCAGTCCTGGTCCCCTGTTCAGAACCCTCATTGAGGCCCAGCTTTGGGCTTGTCCTGGGGCCTTCTAGGGCCACACTGCACCGCAGACACTGGACTCTTGAGCAGGCTGCACGTCACCTGGGCAGACAACCCTGGGATGAAGCCATGGTGTCCCCTCACCTGAGCAGGACAGCCAGCCAGGTAGGGTGACCCCGGTCCTGACACGGTTGCCTCTCTTTCCCCAGCCTTTGGCGGCAAGCTGAAGAACCCACTCCGAGTTGTCCTGGTGGCCACCCACGCTGACATTATGAATGTCCCCCGTCCAGCTGGAGGGGAGTTTGGCTATGACAAGGACACGTCTCTGCTGAAGGAGATCAGGAACAGGTGGGTGGTGGCCCCTGGCCCTCTGTCTGGGGTGGGGAGGGGTGGGGTGAGGACACCCTAAAGAACGACAGGTCCTTCTTCCTTGGTTGATTTTGTGCTGTGGCTTTCATTCCTGTCCACGCGGTGAGCACGCACGTAACAAATCCCACAGAGACCAAGAGCACGGGGCTCACGCCAGCACCCCCTCGCTTCCTTCTCTGCTCACCTCCAGCGCCTCTCCCAGAGGTGACTTCTGTGAGTCCTGCAGCTGTCGTTCTTGTCATACTCATCACCATTGCACACGCCAGCATTTCTCTGCACGGGAGCTGCAAACCACATGAAATTACTCAGGGGGAGGTGGCCAGCACTTTCTGTATTGGGACAGGATGGGACGTCGTGGGACAGAATTGAACATAACAGATCAGAGTGTATTTCATCTCAAGTGTTAGGGTGTCACTGTTGTTGCACTTATAAAACGTGAGTGTGCCAGGGTGAGGTAGCACATAAATTAGTCTGAGTCTGTATGGGTCGTTTCCACCGCTATCACAACATACCTGAGGCTGGGTAACTTACAGAGAAAAGGACTTATTTTACTCTTAATTTTGGATTAGAAAGTCCACATAGCATGTCACCCACCCACTCTGGTGACGGTCCCCTTGCCGTGTCACACATGACACAACAGCACCTGAGAACAACAGACAGCATGGTGGACCAGGAAACCAGAGAGAGAGATTCCTTGTGCAGGAAGTAGTTGTTACCCCAAGAAGCCACTTTGGAGGGCGGCCCCCCAGCGACCCTCACCAGCTTCAGTCAGGCCCACCTCTTAAGGCTCCTCCACCACTGTGCATGTCGCCACCCTGGGGACAGAGCCTCCCTCACGTGAGCGCTTAGGGGACCATAGCGACTCCATCAAAATAGTTGGAGCGGGCATCTCCAGGTAATACGCGAGTGGCACAGGTTTGAACCCTCAGCCTGGGATGCACGTCTGCTGTCTTCCCGGCGTGGACCGGGATCGTCTGGGAGTGTTCTCAGGTCGGTGGTGACTGGTGGATTCCGCTTGCACTCAGTCACAGCGTCTCCTGTCCTCACTGGGACGTGAGCACCTGGGCCTCGCGTTTCCCACCCTAGGCGTAGCCGATGGCTTTCCACGCCGTGTTCCTGCAGCTGCGTGGAAACGGACCTCCCGTGTGCACGACTGGCCGTGCACCCCGATTTCCCCACACCTCTGCACCAGAGGGACCCGGTGGCGTTCCCAGGACAGAGGAGCCTCCGCGCGGTCACTGGGACTCCCTGCCTCCCACCTGCGCTGGGGCCAGCCTGACCTCTGCACAGGAAGACCTGGTGACAGCTCACGGAGCCCTGCTCTTGCCCTAGGTTCGGGAACGACCTTCACATCTCAAATAAGCTGTTCGTGCTGGATGCCGGCGCTTCTGGCTCGAAGGACATTAAGGGTCTTCGGAGTCACCTGCAAGAAATTCGGAGTCAGATTGTCTCGGTGAGCACAGCCTGCAGGCCTGGCCCCAACCTTGGCTGCTGCCAGCCGTGCCCGGGGAGTGGGCTTCTGCTCTGCCCGCTTGGTTGCTCTGGTTTTGGGGACAGGGCCTCACAGCAGGATCAGGATTGGGGACAGCATGGATGTGCTGTTGTCCTGTTGCTCTGGGGCGAGGCAGGAGGAGGGAGAGCTAGGACATGGAGGAGAAGTGTGACGGGAGAGGTGGAGCAGATCGGAGGCTGATCTGAACTGAAATTCTTACAGTTCGTGGATTGAATATAAAATTTCCTTCTCCAAATTGCAAAAGCAATTCCAGTGCGCTTCATGGTGTTCAGACAAATCCAAAGGAGAGAGATGTCATTAACAAGACTTACTGAAGGAGCTGAGGGCTGGAAGCATAGCAGAGGGTGAATGTCATGCAAGTATGTCACGGGCAAATGGAAACAGCACAGTGAAACCCCCTGTTCAATTAGTATATGCTAATTAAAAGATAACTGATGACAGCAGGAGATGAGGCCACATTAATGCTTCATTGTCCCAAGCTGCATAAATTTAATACAATTCGGTGGCCATCTGAATGGGATAGGGAAGTTTTTATCTGTCTGGATGTATTCATTGTACAGGAGGGGTTCATTGTGACAATTCCAAGCAGGCTTACATTGTGTGTTGGTTAGATCAGCCCCAACTTAAACCTTTTAAATGTACAAACAGCAACAGATATCTTCAGTGGGGATTCAGAGAATGTTTTTAAATAACTTGGGACCGAGGAAATCTTAAAACAGGGTGCAAGAGAGAGAGAGGGAGAGAGAGAGGAGGAGGGGGAAAAGGAGAAAGAAGAAAACCCTATTACACTTACTTTATTTAAATTTTTTTTCTGGTGAAAGATTATAAAGTTAAAAGGTGAAACAGATTGGGCAAAAGGTATGCGTGCACTTGACAGATGAACGATTCTTTATTCTTCATATGCAAAGAGCTCTAGCTCCCAAATTGATAAGAAACAGAAAAGCATGCTAAGTGGAAAATTGCTGGAACTGCTCTGGGGAGCGTGGCAGTGCCCACACCTGAGTCTGGCCTCGGGTCAGAGGTCCCTCTCCCTCTCCTGCCCAGCCGGGACCTCTGTGTCTGTCTCCCCTGCCAGCCCCCTTCCAACACCGGGTGGTCCGGGCCAGAATTCCGGGAGACCCTGAAGTGCAGCCCTTGCCCCTCAGCTTGGCCTGGCTCTCCTGCCTGGCCCACCATGGCACAGTCAGCGATGGGAATTTTGGCCCTGGGGATCTGGGCTCAGAGACCGGCGGATGTGGCTGGGGAAGAAACAGCAGCCTGGGAAGGGTCCAGTTGGGGCTGCAGCGTCACCGTGTGCTTTGAGAAACACCTGCCCTGGCCCCACGTTCTGAGGTCAAGCAGGTGCAGCCCCCAAACAACCTCCCTGAGAACACTGGGGTTTTGATTAGGGATAGAATTTAGGTGACAGGATTTGAGAGGGGTGCGTAAATCAGAGCAGTGTAGACGTGGCCTGTGTGGTTTCTGATAGGACAGTGTGGACCGTATGAGTCTGAAACACAGGCTGGCACATTTAACCAACTTAAGAAGGTTAAAAACCACTTTCAAGCCAGTTACCAAGAACTGGTCTAATAAGGTTTTAACAGCAGTCCTCACGAATACCTAATTTTTGGATAAAATCCACAGTAATGATAGCAATGCTTGATCTCTCGTCCTCTCTCTCTGTTCCTAAAGAATCCATTGCTGGACTGAAACAGTCACAGTGAGGGAGTGACAGAGAGAGAGAGGAGGGAGAGAGAAAGTAACTGTGACAGAGAGAGAAAAGGGGGAGGGAGAGGGAGGAACTGAGACAGAGAGAGAAAGGGAAGGAAGAGGGAGAGAGGGAGTCACAGAGAGAGAGGGAGAAGGGGGAGGGAGAGGGAGGAACTGAGGCAGAGAGAGAGGGAGAAAGGGAGGGAGAGGTGTTGGGACTTAGATCACATTAGTTGGTGGGTTGAATCACAGTTCTGAAAACCTTATTGCAAACACTCACCCTGTTTCCCACGACCAGTGGATCTGAGAGGCCCCGGACGAAGCTGCGTGTTAGATAACCACGCTCTTCCACGCTCTTCCAAGGCAGCTGAAACACAGCCGTCCCTGTTCTCAACAGGGGACTCACTCCCTGAGAGCATGAGTGGCACTGTCACCCCTAGACCCCCCCATCCCCACAGCCCGTGGGCTGACCCACGTCCCTCCCCGCGCTCTAGGGCTGCCCTCCCATGACACACCTGTGTGAGAAGATCATCTCCACGCTGCCGTCCTGGAGGAAGCTCAACGGGCCCAACCAGCTCATGTCGCTGCAGCAGTTTGTGTGTGACGTCCAGGACCAGCTGAACCCCCTGGCCAGCGAGGAGGACCTCAGGCGAGTCGTGCAGCAGCTGCACAGCGCCGGCGAGGTAGGGGCTTCCTGAAGCCAGCAGGGCTGCGAGGGGATCGCAGACTCATCTCTGTCCCAGGTCCAACTGCTGGAGGGGGCTGAGTCCGGGCTGTGGAGCAGGCTCAGATGCAAGGCTGCTGCAGCTCCAGTGGCTCTCGGGTCCCCTTCTTCTGCGGCTGTTCATTTTGCTAGCTAGGCACAGGGTCCCTGGCTTGGGTGACAGGGTGTCCGCCCCCCTTTGGCCACCTGATCCTTCCCTCATCAGTCTTCAGCCTGGCTGCCCGCCATGAGTGGGACAGGTCCAGCTCCAGCCAGGCTTCTGGGATGACCAACAACTGAGCCTCACGGAGAAGATGGCTGTAGTCATGAAGACAAGACATGGTGTGTAGCTGTACAGAAGGGTCACCTTCAAGGTGCACAGCAAGGAGTACCCCCAGAAATGGCAGGAATTGGGGATCTTCCCTTGGTTGTGTGACATCTAGCATGGGGGTATGGTTCAGAAACCCCGTTCATTCTAACTGCACCATGAGCCCTCGTGCTCCTCCCCCTGGTGAAATCTGGACGCGGTGTCAGCTGGTCTGAGTTGAGAACAACGGTGGTGGATTAGCAACTAGAGAGGGTTCTGAGGACATTAAAACCAGAATTCAGAAGCCATGTCACAGCCATATTTGAATGAATTGTGTATTTTGGGGTCTAAGTACTGAATCCAGAAGCCAACCACCCTGCTGGGCCTTAAGCAGGTGGCGTTGTCAGTCTTTACATGCCCAGAAAACTCCTGGTGGTCGGCCGACCCCCCAGCAGTATTTTAAAGGAAGGGTCAGGGTCCAGGCTGAGATTGCGAGCTTACATGGCTGGCCAGAAAAGTGTGTTCACCATCGCAGCACACTCGGCTTTCAGCACTTCTCAGCCTTGTAGTGTTTGATGGCTTTGTGGATCTCAGCGTGCGACGCACCTAATTTGACTTCCCACTGAACCTGCACTCGAAGCTCCAAGGAAGAAAGGAAGACGTAGGAGGAGGGAGAAAGGAAAGGGGCCTCGTCTGTGGACCCCACTCTGGCTGGTGCTGCCCTCCTGCAGTGCTGCTGCTGCTCCTGGGAACAGAGCAGGGCAGACCTTAGTCACATCTGCCCTGTCGTCCTTCTGTCTTTCTCCGGTCTGGGATCCCACCAGGGACAGGGGACCAGACTTTGTCTCCCTCGACTCTGAGGAGATGAGCGTTCCTTCGAAGTAGGCTGTACCTTGCCTGCGTTTTCAGGCTGAGGCTCAGCTATGCGCAGAGCCACCTAGACAGAGCATTTGGGAATGGCCTGGCCAAGGGGCAGCAGTCCTCTGGCCACAGGTAGAGGCCGAGCCCGCTGTGAGGAAGGAGCCCAGGCTCGCCATTATCCCTAGAACTAGCCCTGAGAACAGGGGGAGCAGGGGAAGAAGGAGCTGTTCCCCAAAGAGAAAAGTCCCATGGTTTTCTTTCCAACTTTTGCTTTTTAAAGGAATAAGCACTGGCTGCCAGAGTGGCTCAAGTGGTAGAGCGCTGCCTAGGTAAAAAAAAGCGTGAGGCCCTGAGTTCAAACCCCAATCCCAACCAAAAAAAAAAAAAGCTGAAATCCCTCTGGTTTCATTCCTATCCCCTCACCACGGGGACTGTCATCATGGTGACATATCTTTCCAGACTTCTTTTTTTAAAAAGTGAGAGAGCGTGTTTACATTTTACCTAACGGTATGTCAGTGCAACGTCAGTGAGAAATGTCCAGCCTCAGGGACTGTGTAAGATAAGACCGCAGCCCTCACGTGCTCACCGCCAAAGCTGACCCACCGCTTACCTTTTGCTGCTTCTCCTTCCTTCCTTCCCCTTCATTTCCTTCCTTAAACGTCCTCACACTTCACCCCTAAATAATTCAGCCCGTGTCTCCAGAGAGGTACGTCCGCCCCATGAAATGCTGGCGTATTCCGGAGGCACCACGACTGAATATGGGGTCGCCACACGGGGGGTTCCACTTGTCCTCGCAAAGGTCTCTGACGACTGCGTCCATTCGGGTGCGTTTTCGTTGTGGGATCGGGGATCCCTCACAGATCACCAGTTGCACTTGGTTTCTCTTCTTTGCTTTGTCTTTCGTGACACTGGACTTTCTCACTTTCGAGGGCAGTTGTGAGTCAGAGCCTCCTCTATTCCCAAGACGGTTTAGGGGTGGTGTTTAGTTACAGATTTATTATTTTGGCGGCGCTGGGGTTTGAACTCAGGGCCTCACGCTTGCTAGGCAGGTGCTGCACCACTTGTGACCCTTACAACAGCTGCTCTGGTTTCCTCGCCGAGCTCTGAGCGGGGCGTCCATTCCTACTGGTGACCTTGTGTGTCCCCGTCCCCGGCAGATCAACATCATGCAGAGTGAGACGGTGCAGGACGTCCTGCTCCTCGACCCCCGCTGGCTCTGCACCAACGTCCTGGGCAAGCTGCTGTCGGTGGAGACGCCCCGGGCCCTGCACCATTACCGGGGCCGCTACACCACCGAGGACATCCAGCGCCTGGTGCCCGACAGCGACGTGGAGGAGCTGCTGCAGATCCTGGACGCCATGGACATCTGTGCCCGGGACCTGAGCAGCGGGACCATGGTGGACGTCCCCGCCCTGATCAAGACGGACAACCTGCAGCGCTCCTGGACGGACGAGGAGGACGAGGTGATGGTGTATGGCGGCGTGCGGATCGTGCCCGTGGAGCACCTCACCCCCTTCCCGTGCGGCATCTTCCACAAGGTGCAGGTGAACCTGTGCCGCTGGGTCCACCAGCAGGGCACCGAGGGTGACACGGACATCCGGCTGTGGGTGAGCGGCTGCAGGGTGGCCAACCGGGGGGCCGAGCTGCTGGTGCTGCTGGTCAACCACGGCCAGGGCATCGAGGTGCAGGTGCGGGGCCTGGACACGGAGAGGATCAAGTGCTGCCTGCTGCTGGACTCGGTGTGCAGCACCATCGAGAACGTCATGGCCACCACCTTGCCCGGGCTGCTGACCGTCAAGCACTACCTGAGTCCCCAGCAGCTGCGGGAGCACCACGAGCCCGTCATGGTCTACCAGCCCCGGGACTTCTTCCGGGCGCAGACGCTGCGGGAGAGCTCGCTCACCAACACCATGGCGGGGTACAAGGAGAGCTTCAGCAGCATCACGTGCTTCGGGTGCCACGACGTCTACACCCAGGCCAGCCTCGGCATGGACATCCACGCATCCGACCTCAATCTCCTGACCCGGCGGAAGCTGAGTCGCCTGCTGGACCCGCCCGACCCCATGGGGAAGGACTGGTGCCTTCTGGCCATGAACCTGGGCCTCCCCGAGCTGGTGGCCAAGTACAACAGCGGCCCCGGCAGCGGCAGCGCCAGGGACTTCCTGCCCAGCCCCGTGCACGTCCTGCTGCGGGAGTGGACCTCCCTCCCCGAGAGCACGGTGGGCACCCTCGTGTCCAAGCTGAGGGAGCTGGGTCGCCGGGACGCGGCCGACTTCCTGCTGAAAGCCTCGTCCGTGTTCAAAATCAGCCTGGACGCCCACGGCCAGGAAGCCTACGCGTCCAGCTGCAACAGCGGCACATCCTACAACTCCATTAGCTCGGTGGTGTCCCGGTGACCTCCTTCCCGGACACCGCCCCCACCCCCGGGCCCAGTTCCCGCCATGCCAGCCCTGGCATGTGGGCGGCCGCGCTGACCACGGGCACACCGCATTCTCGCTTCGGCCACTTGAAAAGCTGGCGTCCCCGCTCTCCGTGTTTTGGACTCCCATCTCGCGTCCTCCAAACCTTGCTTCTTACTGATGGTTTTTTTGGGATTCAAAGTTTTCAATGAAGTTTTTTTTAAACCACTTTACTGATCGCCCTTAAAAAAGCAAAAAACAGGAAGTTTTCACACACATTTATCCACAGCGTGTAATTTCTTACGCTCTTTCTTTGTCAAATTCAAATCGGCTCCTCAGCTTCTGTCTCTTATATTTGTAGGAGAAACTCGCTTGCTTGGACCCCACTGTGTGATTTATAAACTGACAATATGTGAGTGCCTTTTGCAGAAGAGGGTGTGTTGAGATCATCTGAGTCAGCCTGGAGCTGTCACCAAGGAAATGCTACCTCTCTGTCCCTTGCTGTATGACGATCGCCACAGGTGCTTCACCCTGACTTTGTTTTCGTCTTTTTCTGTTTCGTTTCGTTTCGTTTCGTTTTGTTTTGTTTGGTGGGGGGAGGGGGACAATGTCTGCATTTCGTTTGGCAAGGACAGGGGAGAAAGGACCCCACGGCCGGCGTCGTTGCTAGCCACTGGCCTGCAGATTGCGCTTGTGGACGCAGCCGTGCGAGCGTGCACGGGAGTCCTGTAAACGGTCACGCTTGGTCCCCTCCTCTTCTCAGGTAGAAGGTTGTCACAGTTGTAGGGTTTTGGAGACCTGTGTAAGAAACGAGAAGACCCCCCCACCCCCCCACCCCAGCTCATGACTCCAGGGCCCGGTGCATAGCAGGCGGTCTCCACACGGTCACTTCTGTGCTTGAAGTCAGAAGAGAGGACGAGGAGGGAGCGAGATCGCATTGCGCGGTGATTTGAAACTGTGACGGAAATCAGTACGAGGGAGCGTGAGAAGCACGTAGTGTGACGTTATGTCCGTGTGTGTGTGTGTGTGTGTGTGTGTGTGTGCTCTGTGTGTACACATACATAAATACTGGTATTTTTACTTAATCTATAAGATGTCAGAAAATAATTAAGTTTGGGCTTTTTTTTATATATATATTATATATATAAATAAACTGTCGCTTATTGCATTGGATTCTTTGGTCCTTAATTCAAAAAGAGCGCTCTTTCTTTCTTGGGTTTTCACTACCACATCCCACACGGTGTGAAATCCAGGAGGTCACTAAAGTCAACCCCTGCGGATGGAAAACAGCGCCATTCACTGTCTGCTAAAACCAGGAGGGGCGGGGCGGTAAACAGAACCGAGGTGGTTTTCATAGCTGTGCCATTTTAAAGAAGAGTCCCTAACCTGGACCAAAAGACCAAAAATCGTATGTTCTCCCTCATATGCGGACATTAGATCAAGGGCAAACACAACACGGGGATTGGACTTTGAGCACATGATAAAAGCGAGAGCACACAAGGGAGGGGTGAGGATAGGTAAGACACCTAAAAAACTAGCTAGCATTTGTTGCCCTTAACGCAGAGAAACTAAAGCAGATACCTTAAAAGCAACTGAGGCCAATAGGAGAAGGGGACCAGGAACTAGAGAAAAGGTTAGATCAAGAAGAATTAACCTAGAAGGTAACACCCACGCACAGGATATCAATGTGAGTCAACTCCCTGTGTAGCTATCCTTATCTCAACCAGCAAAACCCCTTGTTCCTTCCTATTATTGCTTATACTCTCTCTACAACAAAATTAGAGATAAGGGCAAAATAGTTTCTGCTGGGTATTGGCGGGGGGAGAGGGAGGGGGCGGAGTGGGTGGTAAGGGAGGGGGTGGTAAGGGGGAAGAAATGACCCAAGGCTGTATGCACATATGAAATTAAAACAAATAAATAAGAGTAGTCCCCTTCCATTTTCCCTGGCTGAAGCAAACCGAACGACGGCCTCAACTCCTGGCAACAGGCAGAAGGACGTTCACTGGATTTTGCCAAGGTGCAGCATTGTGCAGGAACCAAGAGCAAATCCCCGACACAGCTTGCCTGCATCCTTCCTGCCCCCCTTTAAATAAAATCTACACGTGCACTGCAGTCACGGGTCAGATTCCAGAGTTGGCCTGCCTGATGACAAAACCAATCTGGAGTAAAATGTCAAAAAAAAAAAAAGAGAAAAAAGACTGGAAGGAAAAAGGCTAAAAATGGTGGTAACTTTTCTCTGCGCTGCAGGACTTGGCCCAAACTGTCCACAGCAGACATGTCTTACTTTTATACTGAGAGAAGAAATCATGAATAATTTACAACTCCACATAGATTCACTTAGAAAGGATGACACGTGTGGCCATCTCGAGGAGTGGCACCTCCCCTTGTCCACTTCCATGCCGATTGCTGGCCCGAGACAAGCGAAGGCCTCTGATTGGGTCAGTCTGGGTCACATGGCGGTCCCTATACCGTGGTCGAGGACACAGGTCTGTGACTGGCCGTCCCCCTGGGGAGGTGCAGTTTTTCTTAGAAAGCTGTTCAGGTAACAGAAAAACCAGGTGTGGAGGACTCTCCTGCAGACAGATGGAAGAACTTGCAAGAGTCTTTCTACCTCTTCAGGGAAGTCCCAGGACAGGCACCTGCCCCTGGGGTTCTGGGCCTCCCTGGCTCCTGAAATGTTGAAGCCATACTCAGAAATCCCTGTAACCCAAACATCAAGAGATTAAGGATCTCCGAACTCACTGCCTCCTCCTGGAACATGTATGGGACTTCACTGCCAGAAACTCCGGTCAGGTTGAAAGGCTTTGACAAAGCCTCACTGTGTGGTGTGTGGTGGCCGTCCACCCGCTGCAGGAGGAAGACCCCAGGCTACAGTCCATCTGTGCAAATTCTTAGGGGCCAGAAAGGCCATTCACGGTTCCTTTCCTTTACAATTGCTGTCACGTGCACTCCGGGGGTGTGCTCTTTGTTATCTCTAGGCTGAGACTGCCCCCCAGGGTACGAAGTCCAAACTGGACATCCCTGGGGTCTGAAGGGTGGGTCGAAGGATCCCAGAGTCTCTAAACCTTTAGGATGGAGGCCGGAAGGAAGCCCAGCTCCGGGTGGGGGCTCTGGTGGTCTTTGTAGAAGGAGGTTTCCAATTACAACTGCAGATTTCACGGGAATCTGAATCTGTATTTGGCCTTGTGTCTTACTAAACCCTGAGGGGGAAAAGCCTCCACTGTGAGGCCTGGCTTGGCCCTGGCTCCACGAACAGCTCGCGGGCCCAGCCAGGTGTAGGACCTGGAGGGTGGTCAGAGCTCAGAAAGCCCCTCGTTAAAAGCAGGAAGACTCTTGGTCTTCCAAGATCAAATAGTTGTGGAGTTGGATGGCGATGACGGTCGTGCAAGAATGTGCATGTGTTTATTGCCACAGACCCGGAAAGTTACACCTAATAAAATTTGATCTTAAGCTACATTTTGCTACGTTTTCAAAACAGAGCAAAGAGATAAAACTGGAACCTAAAACACGCAGGGTAACGTGCAAGACCACCTGTTGTGTTTAGAGCCATCCAGCAAAGTACAGCCCCCCCCCCAAAGGAGGTACAGGAAAGTCGTAGATTGCTTGCTGAAAGGATTTAATACTCATTTTCTTTGGCTTCTTTCCTTTTCGTTTGCCTTAATTTTCTTTTCACTTTTCATACCGTGGGTGAAGCCAGAATCTCTGCTGGACTGGAACCTTGAGGACTTCTCTGGCCACGCTGGTCATGACGTCCAGTGTGCTCCACTCCTCGTTGTCCAGATGTGGGTTGGACACTTTGCAGCGCCAGCCACAGGCTGCCCACTGAGGGCCGCACGGGTGCCCACCGTGCTGGCCACGGGCTCAGCTCTGCGGCTGCCCCAGGGTTTTGCTCTGAGAGGCTGGTCTCAGACATTGGTTGCAGTTGGGGTTTGCCTGGCGCTGGGGTCAACTTTCATCAAGCACAGGCCTCCAAAGCCCTCAGTCCCAGGATTCAGCAGCTCCAGATGTGGGGCTTGGGGTTCGGAATGGGCTCCTCTGCCCCAGGTGAATGCCCCGGCCAGAGGGAGAAGTGGGGAGAAGCCCTGAAAAGGGGTGTTACCTCCTTCTATAATTGGGATCTGGACTGCTTCCAAAAGACTATGTGTGTGAGAAGCATGGTCCCCGGCATGGCACGGCCCTATAGAAAGGTGGTGGAACATTAAGGGATGGGGCCATGCCTTGAAAGGCCATTGGGGGACCCCGTTGTCTTCCTCCTTCTTTCCTGTGCTGGCAACAAAGCAAGCTGCTTGGTTCTGCCTTGCTGCAGCCTCTCCACTACCATGGGCTGTCTTGCAACACTCCCAAAAGCAAGGAGGCCAACCGAGCTTGACTTGAAACCGCCAAAACAGTGAGCCCAAATAAAAACTGGTTATCTTGGGAATTTGTTAGGGAAGAGGAAGCTGCAGGAAGGAACCCTGTGCAGAGTGGGAATGCCTCCAGGAAAGACAGAACCCCTCTGCTGGCTGCTGGCTGGAGGCCATGGGCTCCCCAGGGTAATTCTTGGTTAGAAAGGAGTGATGCAGTGTGGGTGTGGGGAGGAAGACAGGAGAGAAGTCACACAGATGGCTGCTGCAGAGCCTGGACCCTGGCCTCCTGTCATTTTCCAGGGCTGACACCAGGATAAAGAGCCCCTGCCAAGCACCCATGGCTGTCGCCTCAGTCCACAGGATCTGAGGCCTTTGGTGGCTACCATATTGTCCCATTGAGTTCATGGAGGAGGCAGAGGTCAGGAGGATCAAGGTCGGAAACCAGCCCAGTGAAACAGTTAATGAGACCCTATCTCGGGAAAGAAAACAAAAACAGGGCTGGTGGAGTGGCTCAAGTGCTAGAGCAGGTAGCCTAGCAAGCACAAGGTCCTCAGTTCAAACCCCGGGACTGGCCCCAAAACAGATTTATTCTGATGAGGACTCTCTGCTGATTGAGCAGACTATTTTTCCCCACGTTCACCCTGTCCACCCCTGGCCTCGGAATCAGAGGCTCCAGCTCCAGCCCCAGCGTGGACCCCATGCTGTTCTGCAGAGACCTTGGGTTTGTCACAGCCAGCAACGATGAAAGCCACTCTTCCAAGAAAG